TAGTTAGTGTATTAACACTTATTAAAGATACGTTAGGTTATTGGGTGAGCCTAGGCTCGGGTGATTTAGGGTTAGAGCTACTAGATATAGCCGTTGATTCCACTTACTATCTAAGATAATAGTCAAAATATTACGAGTCGCCTTACAACACGTAAGGTATCAACGAGTAAACCCGAAGTGGTTTACTTAGTGATATAGTAGTGGGGCTCGATATAGTAGAGACGGAAACTAAGTGTATAGTATGCAGCTGTACGCAAAGCGATTAAACCGAGAATAACTCGATTCTTTGTAATTAAGGTTAACTATGCTTCCTGTAGAAGCGTCCCTAGCTGACTATATACTTTAGGTAGGTTTCCTATCTAGGTAGGTCTGGGTATTGCACTGTTGCGCCTATTGTAGTCCTTTGTTATGCAACATGGCAACGAGTGCAACGGGTTGTTTCCTTTCTCGATTGTCACGTGTTGATCAGCCTTGCTAACGAGGCTGTATCACGTTTCCCTCGCCTGACCTTCCCTTCCTGCTCCAGGATTGTCTGGCCGTATGAAGGTCGGTTCGTAACAATTTGTTAAATAAACTATTAAGTCCTTAGTAGTGCGTCTATAACTTTTTCGCTTAAAGGAGTCGGACTAGGTCGTCTATGATAGTTATACTAACCTCGTTACGGAGACTCTCTTCTTTAAATAGGTTCTCGGCTAGCCGGTTACGCTCGGGTATTAGCTTCCTAGTATATATAAAGTCCGATTCGTATAGAAAGTCCTCTAACGTCTATAGCTCTACTTATAAGGAGATTTAGTGCTTCTATACGGCTTAATCTCGCGTCTAATGTCTCCGATTATAGAGCTTCTATCGCTTCTTTATATTATATTCGTCGATCGACGAAATAGTCTTCTTATTACCCGTGGTCGGTGTTGACTCTTTAAGTTATCGCCTTCGATATTTTAGGAGCGCCGGTCGATGGTTATAGTTTCGATATAATAAGTATCCGCGAAATAGCTCGTGGATCCGTATATTCTAGCGATTAAGCTCGAAAAATGTCGCTTGACTATTAACTATACTAATGCGAGGCTAGTAGGCCGTAGGGTAGGTATCCTAATTCTGATAGGTACCGAACCGTATACGTTTATTGATAGAATATCCGTAGTCTAGTCTATTAGTCTCGACGCTTTTGTCTCGCGAATAGAATAGGTTATACTTACTATCTATCTTTAATAGCGTCTCTCGACGGGAAGCGTAAAATATAAGGCTTTCCCGGAAGTCTATTTGATAGTCGAGATTTACGAGACCGTGGCTGGCGAGAGAGGATAAAGTTAGTGTGTTATCGACCGACTCGTTCGCGTAATAGCGTGGGAAAATTAGTATATCTAGATAGCGATCTTCGTAGTCGAGAAGACGATAATCTCGTTCTCGAGGCTTACTTATAGAGTAAATATTGGCCTATATTTTATAGTATTGTAGCGCGCTAATCGAGAGAGCGCGGGCTATAAAATATAGTATATCGTTATAGTAGAATAGTTAGTTAACTAACTCGTAGAGTAAATACTCTAGTCTAGAACTATTAATATCGAGAGACTCTCCTCTAAATATAGTAGTTATGTATTATTCTCGAGGTAAATCTTAAAGGCTCTTCGCCTTATCTCGCCGTAGATTAAGTACGATCTATGGCTATATCGTTATCTAGACTTAAGTAACGGTAATATCCTAAAGAATATAGTTAACTTATTTCGTTAATACGCTAGCGGAGGAGTCGGTTACCTATACGGAAACGTAGATTCTTTTCGAATTCGCCGGCTTGTCTAGATATTCTATAGTAGAGAAGCTAAAGAAAGTGTAATCTCTATCGGTATAGTTCGTGGTAGTAGTTATGCTAATCGTTCTATTAAAGTTGACGGGAAACCGTCTCGAAGTCGGAAAGGGTGTAATTCTTGACTAGTCTTCGGTCTTTCGATAGATCGAGGATATTATTATCTTCTCTATTAATAAGCTATAGTAGGCGTGAGAATTAGCTTCTTAGTAGCTAGGGAACGTAGACCGTATATTTAGAACCGTATCGCGTAGCGGTTTAGGGAAGTAATCCTTCGTTTTTCTTTACTAGACGGTTATGAAATTTTTTTAGAACGTTTCTACCGTAGAATCGGTGATTTTACGCTACTAGTTAATTTAACCTTTTTCTTTTCTTTCTCTCGTATAAAAGAGGAGGAAGTCCTTCGCTATCTTCGTCTAGAAGGGACTAGGTATATACTCGAGGAACTATATCGTATAGTCTTTAACGAAACTATTAGAGAGTTAGAGTATTATTTATCAAAACTCGTCTAGATGAATATATAGATTCTACTTATATAAGGTCTTCTTATAAGCCGCCGCCGTTATAGACTTAACTAGCTTTAAGATAAGAGAGTTATTAGTCTTCTAGATCGCTCTATAATAGCCGTTCGCTTCTCGTAGCCTCTACCGTTCTAGGTCGGTAGCGGTCTGAAGACTCTAAACGGCCGCTATCGCGGCGACTTATATAATAGCTTTAGATAGGAAAAGTATTTACCGAGAGAAGAGTAGTTCGCTCTAGACGGAGATAGATATCTCGCTAGGAGGGGGGACTTATCGTCCCTTTTCCTCTTTTTTGAAAATATTCTATCCCCGGGGTAAAAATAAGAGGGAGAGGGCTAAGGCCGACTCCCTAGTCGCCGCGGGCGAGGCGATAATACCTAGTAAGAATATCTATTTCTTCGTTGGCCTATATAGTTATAAGAGCGTGAGTGAGTCGAGGTAAGTCTAGGGTGAGTTAAAGGTGAGTTAAAGGTAAGTCGGGGAGAGTTGAGTAGAGCCGAAGGTAAGCCGGGGTATGATTAGGGTGAGTTAATAGGCGAGCCGCACCGACGAAAGGGGCCCGTTAAGACCTAATAATCTAGACTATAATACTATTATTACTAGTAGCGATCTACGTCCTATTTCTTAAGACCTTCTTATTTACATAGTTATTCTTATCTCTCTAAAACCTTATAAATAAGATAAAAGAGATCTAATTAATTATAGCGACGCTCTTATAGATAGCTTTACTCTATTATTATATAGTAATAATATCTATTTTAAGGTAATTCTCGTCTATAGGAAAGTAAATATAGCTATAGTTAGGGTATTATTTAGATTAATAAATCTATTTTCTTATAATCTAGAGTAGATTAATATCGCTAATAGTATAATAGATTAGCTTAATCGCCGTAATAGTCTAGCGCTAATATTAAATAATACTTATTATAGTCCTTATTTACTCTTTATTTCGCCGCTATCTAGTCTATATTAAGTTCTCTAGAATAGTCCGCTAAGAAATAATAGACTTAACTATATATACTAATTATATTTTAACTAATATAGAGAATTTCTAGCGCTATTCTAAGTAAATAATATCCTATTATTATCTTATAAATCGCTTAAAAGTATACTCGTTTCTATAGCTAGATTACTAATATTTCTTATTATTTATAAATAAAATAAGATCTTTACTAAAGATAGAATTCTCGACGTAATATTAAATAACTAAAAACTTACGTTCTAGTTATTCTCGATAGAGATTAATAATAATATATATATTAAAATCTATTATATTTTATATTTTAATATTATATTATAAAATCTTTCTATTTATTATAAATACTTTTACTTCTAGAGAATTAATCTAACTAAAAGTTAAAGTTTTCTTATATCTTTTATATTATTTAATAGTTTATAGTTAATAAAAGAGTAGCGATTTAGATATATTTATTTTCTTAATTATATTACTACTATAACTATATTTTAAGACTATTATATAATTATATCTAATTATTCTATTAATCTTCTCTCGATTTTATTTATCTATATTATCTTTATTATTCTTCTTAGCGAAATCTTTAGATAGACTATTAGAATCTTTAAAAATCTATATAGTATTCTAGTTATAAAGCTACGAATAATTAAGCTTCTTTTAGACTAATCGCGTAGCTTTCTTTATTATAAATAGTTTAGACTAATCTAGAGTATCTTACTAAGTCTTCTTAATTAGTATTTATATTTAGTAAAAGCTCTTAAATTAGTTAAATATAAGTTAGAGAGACTAGATTTTAGACTATTTATTAACGCTCTCTATTAATTCTATAATATCTAAATTAATAGATAAGATCTCTAAGATCTTAATCGATCTTAGAGCGATAAGTATAAGCTCTCTTAAGACTAGAGATACTATCCTAATAGACGTTAGCGTTAATATATATCTTCTAATTCTCTTTTCTAGTATCGCGCCGCGTAACTCTAGGAGACGACGAGAAGATATAGAACTACGACGAGGTCGCGAAGCTATATTAATCTAAGCTAGAGTATTATAGAGAATTGATTTTCTACGTAATTTATACTATTTTAAGCTTTATAGGGCTATATCGCTATATATATATATAGTAGTGTGGTATATAATTATACACTCGGCTAACTTACTAATTTTTTGGATTTTTGCACGCGACTGTACTCCGTAGTGCTTGGCGACAACGGTGACATCATCCAGCCTTGCACGCGGAATTCGCACGTCTTCATCTCACCTTCGGGACAAAATCTACAAATCCCTCGAATTCATATATATATCAACCATACCTCTGTGGGCTTGGTTTGTTCGGTGGGAGCTCAGACATGAGGAAGCTCCACTACCGTATCTCTTTGAGCCTGGGATGAAGCTGGGAGAAAATTGCCGCCTGCCCAGATGGAGATTTCTGTCGTTCGACACATCAGACTCTTTTCCGACCAGCCTGTCCTGTTGGTCCTCCTTCTATACAACTGAAAGGCCGGTTCAGTCTCCCAGCGATCACTTCTGTGGCAACGTTATTTACGTAGCCCCGCCCAAATAAGAGCAGCCCAATTGTATTCCGGCATCCAAGGTTATTTTGCAGCCATCATTTCCCCTACCTGCGCGATTCGTGTCACTCAAGCTAGGCCATGATCTTATCTAGCACACGGATTCACCCATCTCGAAAACACCGATCACGATGCCTTCCGCTGAAAATGTTGCCATTTCGAAGCCGGAAGCGGACGTACCGACCGAAGGAGATGCAGTTCAGGAGAGTTCAGGAGCAGCCTCAACCCCGCTAGACACCACCTCAACCACCACCGAAGACGTCACCCTCGCCAATGACCCACTGGGTTCATGGAAAGGATGGGCAGAGATAGAAAATGATCCGGTAATACCTCCCCAGTTTTCGCTGACTAGTCCTCGACTAATTTGCTCCAGGTTGTATTCAGCACGTTATTGCGAGAATGGGGTGTTCCCAATGTCCAGGTCAACGAAGTTGTGCCACTCGACAACGTGTTTGAGTATCCACCGTAAGCAATACAATTCGTGCTTGTAATTTGTGGCTGATGAGTGAGCAGGCAGAGCATTTACGGCCTAATATTTCTGTCACGATGGGCCGCACCAGAAACTGAAAACGATCTTACGGAGCCTCCCACAGGAGTTTGGTTCGCCAACCAGACCCTTTCCAACTCCTGTGCCACGGTTGCTCTAATGAATATCGTCAACAACCACGCGACGATCAACCTGGGCCAACCGCTCAACGACTTCCGAGCCAGCACAATGAATATGACACCCATGGAACGGGGCCTTGCGCTGGATCGATTCGACCATGTCAGAGACGTTCACAATTCTTTTGCCACAGAAATTGACAAGATGGATGTCGATCTTCGTCTCAAGCAGGACATGGCTACAGCGGAGAAGAGGAAGAAAGCCGCAGGCGCAAAGCGGCCACGCAAGAAACGCAAGGCAGAAGACGAATTGAACGAGGAGGAGAGTGGGCTTCATTTCGTCGCATACGTGCCCGCTGGAGGAGTGGTTTGGAGAATGGATGGACTAGAGCGGCTTCCACGGAAGTTGGGCACTGTGGACGAAGGAAATGGCTGGATTGCGATGGTTCTCCCAGAGCTGCAGGCTCAGTTGGAATCAGCAACGAGCAACTCATTGGAGTACTCGTTACTCTCTCTGACTGCATCAAATGATTCCTGGAGCTTGGAGGCGGACAGGATGAAGATGGAGAGAGCGCGGGAGGATTGGGGCCCTTTCCTTGCGCAAATGGTCAGGATTCATGCTGACAAGGGTAGTTTGAAGCAGGCCTTGGGGTAGAGGTGTGCGGGATGCCATGTTGACTGGGCAGTATGTAAAAGATCCAACTCGATTTCATCATTCCCTGAGCCAAAACCAGCGTCTTCTTGGGGATTCAATCTGTGGTCTCTCACTCGGTCCCTCTATACATATATCCGGGGCAGTAGCCGGTTGCTGGCCACTGATTGGCTGGCTCCGCATTGGCCGTCATGACGTTTCCATCGCGTGCCTCATTTTCCGAGTCTCGGCTGGACAATCAGAACTTCATCCTGAAAAACGCATCAATCACCACGATACCGAGTAATTCACCAGATCCTCACGTCCTCAATCGCGGAAACAAGGTGCATGCCTACCGCCCTCCTCTTTGCCTAAGGAAATAGGTCGCGATGAGCTCGCCACTCACCCAACTTCCCAACGAGGTCATTCAGGTCATTTTGTCATACTTACCGTATGACAGCAACACTGCTGTGCAGCAAACCTGCCACCGCCTCGCAGATGCCGCGCAGGAACCGCTTCTATGGAAGAAGTACTGCCAGGACTCGTTCAGATGGTGGGATCGACGGCATGATTTTCCCGCCAAACTCCGAGACGGCTCATTCGTTGGGTGGAAGGACATGTTTGCAAAGCGCCGCAGAACGTCCAGGACCACTCGACAGGCTCTTGACAGAATCATCTCCGAGGAGCTTGGACGACTTGACTCAATGAAGATCATCTTGGAGGCCGGCTACGACGCCAAAGACGACTTGTTCAACATGTTTTGGGACGCGCCCCGGTCTCCGAACCATCTGGCGCAGAAGTAAGTTTGTCTCCGACTCCGCATCCCAGCCATGCTTCTGACCTTTCTCCAGATACTGGAGTCATGCAGCTCTAGGCTGTGTACAAAGACTGCTGGCGGTTGAGGAATGGACAACCATTAAGGCAGCAGAACACTACCCGGACGCGGTTGAACGATCGCTATCTGCTTACGATATGTTTATCCTCGAAGAACGACCCCAAGGGGACATGTCCGAAGTGAGTTGTCCACCAAACCATGTTTTCGCCACCATTCCAACTAAACCTCGCGGCAGATATTTGCTCGGCTTGACTCCTACGTCGCTTCCGTTCGGGACGCTTGCCCCAACATCGACGAACTGTCTCCACGGAAGAAAGCGAGCGTTATCGCCGAGCATCTGCTGGAGAACAAATGGGTAGGTATCCAGGATGATCGACACTACCACAGCCTGGATCATATGTTCCTCGGAGTATCTGTGTTTAGCACGAACAGAAACTCAATACCACTTATTTCGGCAGTCATCTTCTGCTACGTGGCTCGTCGATTCGACCTGCGCGCAGAAGCTTGTAGCTACCCTTTCCATGTCCATGCGGTCGTGCAGCCTCCGCCAGGATTCGACCTTGATGGCCACCCTCTCCCAGAATCCGCGAGTCAGGAACCATCCGACTTGACACATTTATATATGGACCCATTCCACAACTCGGAACCCATCTCCCGATCGAGGTTGGAGACACAGCTCAAATTCATTAACCCAGGCGCAACAGCAGCTCAGAGCGTCGCATACATGTCGCCGGCGTCTGCCCGGGACCTCTCAGTGCGGACCGCCCACAATATCTTATCCTCGCCGTCTCACGATCCCGATCCTCCATTGCATCCGATCAACGCCAATCTGGCCACCTACGCAGCTTTGTTCTCCCTCGTTATCCTCGCATCCCACCCGATCAGGCACCCCGCCCACTTACGCCAACACCTCGCCGTCCTCACACAGCACTTTCTCGAGTATTTTGACCTAGACATCCATCTGTTCGAAACCCACGTCCTACCACTTACGTACACTCTACCGGACTCGCGTGCTTACCGAAACCTAATTTCTCAGCTCAAGGAGTCGGATCACGAGTCACGCCCCGCCAAATATCGGTCTGACCCCCGGAATTCATTAGTGAAGTACGGGATAGGACAAGTCTTCACCCACCGTCGTCGAGGCTATCTGGCCGTGATTTACGGGTGGGATCCCTACTGTCGCATGCAAGAGCAGTGGATCACCATGAATCAAGTCGACCGCTTGCCTAATGGGAGGCATCAACCCTTTTATAATGTGCTTGTGGAGGACGAGTCGACACGCTACGTGGCAGAGGAGAACGTGATGCTATTATCTGCGAGTGACATCACAGAGGACCGCATCAACGCTTTCCCCATTGAGATAGGAAAGTGGTTTAAGCGGTATGACCCAGAGACCGGAACTTTTGTGAGTAACGTGAGGGATGAGTACCCCGAAGATTAGAAACGCCATGGTGAAGAGAGTCTTTGTTGCACAAAGGCGAAGACAATTGTTACCGCAGCGTTGCTCGTGTACCTCATACGTTCCTACATATTGCAGAGCATTGTCGGTGCTCTCTTGCTTGATATATGTTGTCATCCGCCTGGTCCTCTGCTTCCTACAACATCCACCCCACAAAGCCGATGATGGCTCCGATGAAGGAACTGGCAATGAGATCCTTGTTCTGAAAGGCGTCAGCACTGGGTCACGGTCAACTGGGAGCGGGGGTCTTACCTGTACCATGACACCGCCGTTGGAGGAGCTGCTGGATGTTGGACTAGAATCCCCGGTCAGGGCGGTCGGCGTGGCACTGGCCGAGGCGGGCGTGGTCTGTGCAGCATTGGCGGCAAACTGGTCGAAGCAGGCCGAGGACGTGGCCTGCGCGCAGCACGAGTCGATGCGAGTCTGGCCGAGACCGGAACAGCCTGCACAGACAGCGTCCACGGCCTCCTGCTCAAGCTGGATCGACTCGCTGCGCGGGAGACCCGTCAGCGCGGGGAGACCGTGGATCGCATTCATGCAGATGGTAAACAAGTACAAGCTCTCGGTCGCGCTCGGGGGTGATGCTGTAGTGGCGCCAAAGAACTGAGAGAAGACCGATGAGACGGCCAGGACGTGGGCGAAAGGCGTCAGCAGGGCAAGGCAGAACAGGGCTGAAGGATTGAACAGTATGATGATGTTGGTGGGGGAGGGAATGTTTTCGAGTCTGGTTCGCAGCTATCAGAGGAGCATTCAAGACGTCACTGATTCCCCGACCTAGACGACCGGCCTTGCCATATATAAGGTGGATAGGAGCGGCTTGATGTTCCAAGGGGCAGGTGTATCTGTCCCTCCATACTGGATAGCCCTTGAGTGGCCTGTTTGACACCCATTCTTCCATTGCATATGAGTAAGATAGTCCCGTGAGCCTAACTCGATATCTTCTCTACTGCAACAACCACTCTGCCGCAGCATGCAGGTGTCCTTCAAATCTTTTGCTCTGGAACTAAGCATAGGGTCGGCGCGCTGCGTGAAACAAGCTTCATTGACGCCACAGGGGGCCATACAGCTGACCGGTGAACTTGTGATAGGTTGTGTACGAAGCAGGCAGCCTGGCAATGCAAAGGGGGTACCGAGTACATGGCGAGGCTAGGTAGATATAGGTAGCTGCTCGTGTTCGGAGGTTTGCCATTGCAGCAAAGGGCGACGACGGTGCGGCTTGGCGGCTCTCACAAGGCGCACTTCTAGAAACCCTTCTCCAGAGCTTTGTCTCAGGAGTTAGTCGTCAATGCTTTCATGCCCTGCGCAGCTTCTCATGATGGGTTGCCCGAACTTGCTTCTTTGGTGGCATGAAGAGAGCCCCGCTGAAGTATCCATCTGTCACCTATCATCTCAACCGGAATCTGCCGTCGACACTCGATAGATTGACTGGGTGGTTCCATTCCATTGCCGCTCAGACTCGACAGCCTGTCACACTGAGCTTGTCAGCATCGACGTTGAAGTCATGCGGCGCTTGGTGAGTTCATTTCTTTTTGTTGGTCGTTCGTGCGTAGGTAGTTGAGAGACAGAGTCAGAGACAATACATACACGCCGTGCTTTTTGTCTTTGGCCACAGATCTATTTACTCGTGTGCGCAGTCCCGGCCCGAACCGTAACATATTTCTCCTCATCGCCTCAAGGCTCACAACGTTCCGCACCACACGCCTGGAGGGGCTTTTCTTCCTACCCAATTTCCCCTTAAAACCTACCACCTAACCATCTAATCAGCTCCAGCTTAAGCACATAAGCGCCCCAAGGCAACGCTCTAGTCTCATTCGCTTCTACTCCCTTTTTTCCCCGAACCAGAGAAAAAAACGATGACCACGACGGCCCCTGCATCGCAAGACGAGAAACCTTGGCACGCCCACTTCCCCGCCCCGCGAGAAACTGATCCCAAAGCCATCACGCGCGAAGACCTGCTGGAGCGGTTTCGGCAGGGCCAGAGCGGAGGGCGGGACTTTGTCCTCGTAGATCTGAGGAGGAATGACCATGCGGTAGGTCCTTTCCTTTCTTCCTTTTTTTCCAGGCGAGATCTTTTTTTTTTTACGGATTCAATTTCCGGTGGGTGCGTCGCTAGAGCCCAGAAAAAGGGGGAAGGAAATAGGAGCTTGGTCCAGAGCGCGGAAGGCATTCCCCATATGCTCGGCCGATATGGACAGGACATCAGGTAGAGTCCATTGTTATTATTCCTTGCCTAGGATGGGCCGGAGGGAGAAGCACCACTCGACCCAAGTGCCCCCGCCCCGGCGTGGAATGATAGCGTGCAAAGTCACGCAACAGCACGGCTGTGTCAGGACAGGAGTGATCGAAGTGACACGCGGAAGAAGGACGAGAACTACTACTGAATCGATCTTCTCCCATCCGTACTCATGACCATTCCCCACCCCCCCTATGCTCTTTACTCGCCCTCCCTGTCCCATCTATACCCAACTACTGTCTCACTCTCTCTCACTCACTCTAACATCCAAACCCCTCCACGACCCGCAGGGCGGCACGATCAAGCACTCGATAAACCTCCCCGCGCAGACGCTCTACTTCTCGCTCGCGACGCTGTACGAGCTCTGCGCCGCGGCCCACGTCCCGCTGGTCATCTTCTACTGCGGGAGCTCGCGGGGCCGCGGGACCAGAGCCGCCGGCTGGTTGGCCGATTACATCGCGGACCAGAAGGGCAGGGCACAGCTGGAGAGTGTGATTCTCGAGGGCGGTATCAAGGGCTGGGTGAGTGGTGGGGAGGAATATACAAGGTGGATGGACGGGTTTGAGGCCGAGGCGTGGAAGAAGGGGGATGATGGTGGTGGCGGCCAGTAAGGGACGGGCTTGGAAAGAGCATATACCAATGTATATACGCTAGGTATCAGACACCAACGGACGAAAAAAACAAACATTATATCAAGTCCGAAGACTTTATAAAGGTCTAATCAGGGACGATCTCGACGTGTTGTCAAACTCGCTCAAAAACGCCACCGCTATGCAACCAGACCTCCGGGGTATATTCTATATGCAGTTCGTTGTGAGTGGCCCACCAAAGACCCAACACAATTCGTGAAAACACATGTTCGTCATCTCTTCTTCCCCTTCCCGCCCTTGGTGCTGCCTTTGACCTGTGCCACCGGAGCGGCATGGTTTTTCTCCTTGATGTGGTTGAACAACCGCGTTTTGGACGGGAACTCGGCCTTGCACACGACACACTGGAACTCTGCCGCAGCCTTGTCGGATTGCTGCTCAGCCGCCTTCTGCGCAGCTCTCCTGGCTTTCTTCTGCTTCGCTTTGCCGACTTTGGGCTGTGTTGGTGTCGTTGCTTCGGCGTCAGAGGACGTCAGAGGCGTGCCGCCTGAGAGACTGACGTCGTCAAAGGCGGCGGTGATTTTGTCTGTGGGTTCTTCTCCTCCCAGTCGTCGCTCAATGTCCGATCGGGGAGCGTAATCATCTTCCTCCGACGCCTCGGATGTTTCATCATGGTCGTCCTCCGCTTCTGCCGTGCCATTTTCCTGGGACCGTATCTCGGCGTGATCTGACTCGCCTTCGGGAAGATTGGTCTTTTCAGGAGACGAATGAGCTTGCTCATCGTGGCCTGCGTCTCCGTCTGCAGCCATATCGTCGTGGTCTCGCGCCGTATGACCGTTTTCCAGGTTCAAATCTAGACCCTCTTCGCGCATCTCCTTTTTCAGCTGCTTTAACAGCTTGATGTGCTTTTTACTCTTCTCATGAGCCTTGAATTGTGCCTCGCTTTTGAATGTCTTGTCGCAGACCACACAGTCATACTCATGTTCCTCCAACTCGGATTCGCTCGAGAACCCTCCTTCGTATTCGTCCTTTGACCTTGACTTTGCCCATTCAGCTATTGCCTCAGCACCAGTGGACTCAAACTTTGCTTGTTGGGCTGCCCTTGATCGTGCTGCTTGTGCCGCAGTGGCCTCTCGAAGGGCTCTTTGCCGTTCAGCTTCGGACTTCTGGTTGTTTTGGACGCGAGGATCCCGTTTTCGGACAAACGCAACCAGAGAGCGGACTGCTTCGTTGTATTCCTGCACAGCCTCGTCCCGGATCTTTTTGTTTTCCTTCTCCATCAAGCGTCTTATCCGTCTGTCCGGCGCGTCCGCTAACCGGTATTGGTCTTTCCAGGAGAAGCTCTTCTTGGTAGCAAACCCGTTCCATGCGGCGTAGAATGGGCGAACCACGTCGTCATAATCCTCGTCCTTCAGTCCGAAATCGGGATAGTCCATTGGTTCTTCATTCTCCCACTGACAGGCGATGTCCTCCTCTTTGGCAAGCTGCTTGAAGAAGTCGTTCAGTCCGCCATAAAATCCACTAGGAGCATTGCTGTATTCCAATCGACCATTAAACTTCATCATCAATTTCAACACTTCCTCGGTGGTTGTCATCCGAATGTTGTAGAAGAACTCATCCGGCGTCGGGCCAGCAGCCTGGTCTCCGCGCAGAAGGATATCTCGGTGAGAGTCATACCAAGCTCGCTCTTGGGGATCGGAGAGGACTTCGTAGGCAGATTGGATCTCGGCGAACAGTCTCGTGGTCTCTTCAACATTGCCAAAATTTCGGTCAGGGTGTAACTCGAGGGCCTTTCGCCGGTACGCTTTCTTGATGTCATCGTCGGTCGCAGTTCTTTCGACGCCCAGGAGATCATAGTAGTCGGCTTTCACTGGGGCTTGCTCCTGGGCAGCGTTGCCGGAGGATTGTCGTTGACCCATGGCTGAGGAAGGGGAAGGGGATAAGTTCCCCGGGCTCAAGAAAGTAAATCAATGGTCTAGATCCATTCAATAATCGATGAGCGTCATCCGGCGACGCCTTAATGCCTCCACAATTGAGGGGACTCTTTAGGCCTCATACCGGAGAAATGTGGGCGGCGAAATTGTGGAATGGATCTCAAGCCTCGTGAGTCGTGAGCCTGTACTCGCTGACTCGGTGAGTGACAGGCACAAATAAACTGCGCCATTTTCTAGCCTCGTTAAGGTTCGAGGCTGAACCGATAAGCGATCACGTGGAGATACCGCTCAGCCAATTGGCGCCCACAACCGTGAAAACTCTGACGTTGACTTTGGTTCCTTGAGTTCCCTAGAGTCGCATTCACCCGCAATGGGCGTAAAGGCGCAGTTTCTGCTGTCATCTGTCGCCCAGTAGCAGCCTCCGGCACGGAATCCTCTCCCTCTCCCCACGGTTCTCATTTCCGACAAATCCCATATATGGCGCGTGGCAATTTTCACCGTCTGGGGATGTCGGAAGCGAAAGGCATATTAATGTCACCCTCCCCCCACGAAGGAGGCCCGTATCCGAAGATGGAAAATAAGCACGCGACTACCTTGAGCCCCCTGCTACTCCTTCCTCCGCACCCTTCGTTCGACTCCGTCTCCTCTTCACTATCTCTAAAGAATGCCCCAAGATGAAGTTTGGCCAGGACTTTGAAGCTACCCTCGCCCGCGGCGAATATCCTCCAGATTGGGTGAACTCTGCCATCTCTTACAAGAAGCTCAAGAAATGCATCAAACGCGTGCAACAAGAACTTTTGAGCCTCGGACTGGACAAAGAGACTCTTGATGCTCTATGGGAGCAGGTTGGCTCGGATGCGGATGGAAGAGTAAATGATAGCTTGCTACAATATACGGTCGAGGATGGTGAGAAGATCAGCTTCACGCCCAAGCTGACAATCGTCGTCGACCCTCGCGATGGCTCTCCCATGGACGCATGGCTGAGTCCTGACACCCGGAGGATCCTACGACGTCTCGCCAGATCGTCAAACCCTAACATTGATCGCGCTCAACACCAGGACGAATCTCCTCATGGGCAACCCAGATCCCCCTGCGATCGTGGTCCCTCGCGGACCATGGCAGACAAGAGTAGTGGACACTCATTGAATAATACGGAGGGGCAGCCTCTTAACACGGTGGAAGTGCCTTTGACTGCAGACTCAGAATTCTTTCAAACACTCCGGCGGGAATTGGCGTGTCTCGACGGTCTGCAACAAGCCGAGTACGCCCGTCTGAGGGAGGAGATCTCTCAACTTGGCAGCGAACTCCGTGCCCTACGAGCTAGCAAGTCAAAACGGTCCAAAAAAGAGGTCGAAGCGTGGCGGCAGATCTTCGAACTTTACACTGACGCCGAAGTCTTCCTGTCTTCTCATGAGGTCGATGCAGGGGCTCGAAACGCGGCTCATGCTCAAAAGCAATTCCAACTCTTCAACCAATCTCTAGCCGCACAACAGAAGAAGGATGCCCTAAAGCTGGGGCATGATGCGAACGGTGCTTTGTCTCGCTTCCTCCAGATCAACATCAACCTCCTGCGGCTGATCAGGTTTCAAGAAATTAACCGCATTGCACTTAGCAAGATCATGAAAAAATTCGACAAGCGCACGGCTTTACATGCAAAAAAGTCGGTGGCACAATCACTCACAAAAGCCTCTCCGTTCATGGTCGAGGATTTGGCCATGGCCACGTGCTTTACTATTTCGGAAGAAGTGCTGAGCATCATCCCACAGCTCAATGACTACTTGTGCCCGATATGCTTTACCATCTCCTGGAGACCCATCCGACTACGGTGCGGCCATCTATTTTGCATTAGGTGTATGGTTGTCCTGCAACGAGAGGAGAAGGATCATTGCCCTCTATGCCGAGAGGAGGTTGTCATGGAGGCGACCGAAAGGAACATCGACAAAACGATGGTCAAATTCCTCAAAGAAAATTTCAAAGACGATGTGAAGGAGAAGCAGAAGCAAAACGAGATCGCAGCTGGGATTGACGAGTATGGAGCTGCTTATGAGCACGCTCGGATGAAGAAATGCAGTGTCATGTGAGGCGGAATGTGGTGTCGTTATGCCTTCTTCGCGCCATATCGCCTTGTTTATTCCATCCCAGCCTGTGATGATGCTTATGAGCAGTTGTTAATAGTCATAATCAATATATTATATGCAGCATCAAAACCTGTTCGGCAGTACTGTTTCCTGTGGCCTCTTCCTAACTTTCAATCTCCGCTCCTAACCAGAACATGGGTCGCAGCTGAGGAGTGTGAGTAGATGCCTAGGGGACGGAGTGTTGGGTGTCTGGCAAATCTGAACCCTCCCCTTGATAGCCAAGTGGTCCCCTTACGGAGGCAGAAGTGTCATGTATGAATGAGTTTTTTCGCTGAATCTACAGACACTGGATGAAATATCTAGATAGAGACAGGTTATACATCTACTAGCTTAGACGAGGGTGAGAAAATGAGAGAATGGATGAAGAGAGGTGTGAGAAGGGGAGACATCGGCAGGGCTGAGCTGTTTAAGGGGCTGAGGTGGACGAGGCTGAACCGACACTTGACTTCGCGCCCCCTGGTTCTCTGCCGCCGGAAACAGACCGCCGCATTACGAGATTCCACCCATGATTATACATCACTGGTGCAAGCGAATTGTTTTAAAAATCATCTTTGCTCTCGGAGGTATACTTCCAATACGTATTCTTTGGGTATAGTTGAAGCGGCCCCGATTCTACGACACTGTCAGCCTCGTGATGAGTTTGCCCGTGTTCCGACCTTCAAACAGCATCATCCACGTCTTTGGGATATCTTCGAAGACGGTATCGACGACGGTCTCATTCTCGTCGCGGATGAGGAGATTGCCCTTCCTCCACTCCTCGACCAGGACGTTGGTGACTTCACCCAGGTGGTCGAGCCAGTCGACGTTGATGAAGCCAAGGACCTTGAGCCGCATCGTTATGACTTCCTATTCCCACCCAGAATATCTGTCAGTATCCTTTTTGTTAAAAAAAAACAGTGGGCCCGGGAAAGGGGGTCGGCCAGGGTCAAATCTCTTCGCAAGATTTGTTGAGGTTGGGGGGACACTCACATAAAAGTTCTTGAGGCCCGCGAGGTCGGCGTCCCGGTTGTAGTTTGAGATGGTGCCGCAGGCGGCGATGCGGCCGAATTTGTTCATCCGCTTCAGCACCAGGTCAAGGATTTCGCCGCCGACATTGTCTAGCTCGCCACTGTCAATTTTGAGAGTTCTCATCCGGCCAATGGGCCGATAGTTGTGGAGGAGGGCGTTGTTACCAAAGAAAACGTCGACGAAGCCGCGTGTCGCTTGGACGAGATCGTCGTGGAACGTTGCGGCCTTGTAGTTCAAGCACAAATCCGCACCCAGGCTTTCGACCCAGCGACACTTTGCTTCCGTTCCTGCGAAGCCAATGACCTGAGCTCGAACGTTAGCTATGTTTCCACGAGAAGGTGAAAACCCGGCTGGGGCGGAGGCGCTCAACCTTTTTACATCCCAGCACCTTTTTGGCAATCTGCACCACCATGCTACCCACCGCCCCTGCCGCCGCGCTCACGACCAGAACGTTGGACTTCTTGAGATCCACAATCTGCGTGAGCGCATAGTACGCCGTAAACCCGGGAAGTCCTAGAGCGCCCAGGAAGTGTGTCTCTCGAAGTCCCTCTGGCGCGCGGAGGGGCGTGAGACCCTCAGTGTCGTGGATGGAGAACTCTGACCAGCCTGTGATTGCCACGACCAGGGTGCCCACTGGGAAAGCATCGCTTCTCGACTCAACCACCTCGCCGATCCCCAGTGAGCGCATAGGGTCGCCCGGCTCGAGCGGTGGGAGGTATGAGCGTTCGGGATCACTCAGGGGAGATATCCATGACCGCTGGGCAGGGTCGTTGCTCAGGTAGACAGCCTTGAGCAGCACCTGGCCCTCCTTCAGTGAGTCAAGGGGCGCAGTCACGAGCTCGAACGTCGAGTCTTCTCCCTCCAGCACTGGGGTGGAATACGGCTTTTTGCGCAGCCTCCATTGCTTCGTCGCGGTGATCATCATGGTCATGGCGTTCTTGATGATCATCAGGTTCAATAATCAGCACGTCGGCTTCCAAGGGCTGTATATGAATGTACTCCACCACCACAGGAAGTAGTCGGTCTTCCTGTGGGGTGAGTTTTGTCGGTTAGGACATGCTGAGAAATGGGAATGATGGTTGCTGATTGACAATTAGCAACCGGGCAACGTCGAATGAGCGTCCCACACTGGCCTATCCTCTCCGGCATGCAATAAACACTGCTCAGGGGATACATGGCTGCATTTGAGATCAAAAGAATATAGCACGTTGGACCGCAGTTCCGACCTGTCGTTCCCACCGGGATCTACATGAGATGAGATGCCACCGGCTCGAGTAAAGATGTGGGGCCGACCAACCGGAATCCTAGTATTACTGGATTTCCACCCTTCCGAATTGAGGTTCTGCCGGAGCTCTCACCTGCATTCTTCTTCCCTTTTCCTCGACCTCAGTCGAAGATCAAACAGGAGATGGATTTGTCAGGTTCCGTGAAGGGGTTGGTACCTGAAAGGCCCGAGATACCGCTTGCGTAAGCCCCAGACAATAGTAAAGCCATTTAAAGATAGGTCCAGCCACCGTCATGGATTTCTTCGAGACCGTAGGGGTTGCTGCAAAATATAAGTACGTATAGACTGACAACGCATCTCCAATATGCTGCGCACTAGGACTGTGCTGGTGACAGGAGCCAACGGCGTTATAGGCCAAGGCGTATGCCGAGCATTTTCCCAAGCAGGCTGGACGACCTATGGCCTCCTTCGAAGCGCACGTAGTGCGCAGGACCTGGTGTGTGAAGAAATCATTCCCATTGTGGGTTCTGCAGCCAACTACTCGTCGTTTGTCGATTCTCTGCCACCCATCGACGTTATCGTGTCCTGTTCCGAAGACATCAAGAACTACAAGGCGCACTTCGACGATGTCCTGGCGATGATCTTGGAGATCAGCTCGGCCTCTTATCGCCAGAGTGGCTCGAAGCCACTGGTCATTTTCAGCAGCGGGTGCAAGGACTACGGGACAACCGCACGGCACGGCGACCCTGAACTTGCTCCCCACACGGAAAACAGCCCGCTCAATCCCCCGGCGCTGTTGGCGAACCGCACGCAATGTGCACTCAGCATGTTCAATCATACCGGGGCATTCGACGCCGTCATTACGAGGCCGACCACGGTCTTTGGCCGATGGGGCAGCTGGTATGCCGTGTTTTTCATGCTGGCCGAAGCTGCCAAAGCCGCCGGCCGCAATAGCTTCACGCTTTACTCAACTCCCAATGCGATCCTGCATGGCACCCACGTGGACGACGTGGGAACTGCGTACGTTGCGATCGCAGAGGCGCCGCGACAGGTAGTGGCGGGACAGGTCTATAATATCTCGGCCCACTCCTATGAGACGCTCGCAGATATCGCCACAGCGGCGGAAAAGTGCCACGGCGTGAAAGTGGACTATGCCGATCCCGGACCGAAGGACGACAAGGAATTCGGCGTCAACTCGGTATTCAATTTTTCTCAATGGGTCGACTCGACCAAGCTCAGAACCCAAACTGGTTGGGTGGACCGGAAACCGCTCTTCCACGACTGGTACGATGTATATAGAAGAGCATGCGAGCAGGCAAAGGCAGACAAGAGCGACCAGTATGTGAGGTACAAGGAGTACTTGTCATTACTGAAGGATCCGAGGTACGTCTTTGACGTCGAGGAGTAGAGGGGACAGGGAGGTCGGCTTGTGTACTGCTTCTTGCGGGAGAGATTGTTTCGACTAAGTCGCAACTGCTCTCCTTGATAGTTGATAGTCCTGTCGCAGACAGAGAAAATTGATGTCTGCAGCACACTCCTCTGCTGGTCTCTTCACGCGAACTGGTAGCAGTCTTCCCACATCCACCCCTGGCCAAGGTCTTCGAGCTCATTGAGAAATCCACTGTCAAAGAATGAACCGCCAAGAGACGGGTTGAACAATATTGCACCGACAGGGTCATTGCTCTCTTCCGAGCCTTGACTGGGAGGAACAATGCCGTAGCTTGGCAGCTGCGGGACCGGTGAGTCAACAACCTCTACAGGATTGACCCCAATGCCGGAGATTCCTTGTGTTCGCGGTAGTGGATGATTTCCGGAGCTACCAACTGCAGATTTGCCATACGATGATTCCTCATTCGACGCCGAGGTAGGGTGCATACGCATATCGTTGCTCGCTGTGGATATACTGTTGCTGAGATCGACCGTTATTCGAGCTGTTGCGACGCTGGCAGTTGGATAATGACATCCCTTGTCTGACCCACGGGCCACTGCTGCAGGTGCGACGTCGTCTGATGTTAGCACTTTCAACTCCTCGTCCAATATCAGGCGGAGTAGTCGCTGTAAGATGAGCCCGGTCTGATCTGATATTGTCGTGCGGTAACCGAGCAGCTTCGGCATCTTGATGAGGCGCCCAATGCTTCGCTTCGCTTCCTGTGCTTGTGCAGAGAATGGCTTGGACAACGCAAAGATCCCAAGCATTACGCCTGCTGTAAAGGTCTGGATGCCGATATAGCTGGTGGCGTGGTAGTTGTGGATAGGTTTGAGAGTTGCGAGATATTCATCTACGCACGAGGTGCGCCTGGCTGAATTCCAGCAGAGCTCTTTGCTTGTCTCCCAGAATCCGGTGCTCAAATCGGGCGGTTGTGGTACGCTCAGGCGAGGTCCCAAAGAAAGTACACCATTATAGACGAGTAAAGGGCGGTGCAAAATCAACTGGATGTTATCGTACGACAGTTGCAGTGCGAGGGCCTGGAGCTGAAATACTCTAGTAAGAGGATCGGGAGCGCCTTTGGATAATGAAGTAAATGACTTCGGATTTAGTTCCGGTGGCACACTCTTTTCCCATTCAAGAAGTTGCTTGTTTATATCTTGCACTTTCTTGATAAGATCTTGGACAGGGCGTCCATCGTGGAAGTAGATTTCTCCCATGATTGGTTCGGCGATGCGATACAGCCTGAACTTGTATCGCTGATACGAGAGGGTCGTGACTTCCTGTGGGATTTCACCCTCGAAATTCTCGAAAGAAGTGAAGCCGGGGCATCGATCGGATGTGTCATCAATATTCTGAGGCAGACCGACCTGACATCTTGACCCCTTTATGGTGGTTGTGGTCCCGTACGTGATGGACCCAAAACTGAGCGCGCATTAGCAGGCTGAACCTCTTGCACCAGTGACATGGATTTGCAGACCCGTCTAATACGTAAAGTGCCCACCAGACACGCCGTCGGACCTCTCTCTCTGTCGCATCTATGCCATGCCAATACGGTTCTCGGTGAAATTTGAGGTTTTGTGCAATCCTCAACGCAGCACTGTTAATGGCCAAGCAACGATTCGGTCGGCCATGGTAGAAATAAAACGAGCTCAGGAGGATGCAGACTTGTATTGTTCCAATATTGTCCTGATCGAGAATAGCCAGAAAATGAGTTTCGATGGCCTTGAGAAGTTTTGATTGTAAAAGAGGTAAGTCGATTCCTGCACAAACATTGTCCAGTTCTTCCTCTGTTGTGTACTTTGTGGCTATTAACAGAATCACCAGAATCAAAACGAGAGTGGACAGGTTACGTTCTGCGACGTAACCAGTGGTGAGTATAGACTGCATCTCCGCTCTCAGAGATGATTCATGAAAGACCATCATGAACCAATGTACTGACTTGATGAAAACTTCGAAGAGCAGAATGCTAGCTTCGGCGGGAGGGAGGTCAGATCCGATAAGGTCAGACACTCGAGCCACCTTCCCATTGATCACTGCGGAGGAAGAATGATCAGGGGTGGCATCCGGTATCGCTTCGGACCCTGACAGCATCGTGTTCTGCGAATCATAGCCCTGTAGGAGCTAGAATGTAGCCCAGCATTCAGCACATTGAACTCCGCAAGAGGAGAATCCTGGGCATACCTGGTCCACGAGACCGTAGGTGGATGGCCTATCTTGGTTCAAGGATGGCATGCGTTCAGGACTTTGGAGTTCGTCCGGCGGCCATTCAGCCTGGGCGGACGTCGACTCTTGATCACAGTTCTCATTCAAGCTTGCTGCGTTTTCCCGTGTTTCTCTGGAGACGGTGTCCGCAGGAACAATACCGTCGGAAGACTTCTTCGCGTTCTTTCTGACAGCGGCATTTGCACGTCGCCTGAAGCTGTGCCATCAGCAGTCCGAACCCAAATTCGGGAATCGACTGTTGGGGCTGTAAGTACCTTGTTGGACGTTCACCCTCCTCACACTCCACGCATGAGCGTACACACAGCGCGCATGGGCGTTCATTGTCGCACTATTGAGACACGATGTGTTAGTTCCAGTTTCTGTGACAATGGAACACCAGCCGAGCAACCATTGCTCTTGAATAGGATTCCAGCATACCCTCAGTTTCTGGCGACGGCACCTCAGGCATGCATATCGGGCTCTGGGGCCCAATCTCTTTCTCGGGGTGGGACGATCCATTTCGTATGTTTTTCATGAGAATGGGATGAAGTCGACTGATATGGCGAATCCTGCAGCGGCTTTTGTCTACGTGGACGCATGGATCTCGCATTAATCCTAGTTGTCAACGACGTTGAGGTCGCCTGTCGCCACTACAACAATCGAGACGAGGGCTTGGCATTTGCAGGCTTGGGTGCGGGGGGACGAAGTTACAAAGTCAAGCTACAAAGCAACGGTGAATTTTCAGCATCTTCAGTTCAAACCTCAAGGTTCCCGGGAGCTGAGCGCAGCTGGCAACAACTACATCTTCTACATAAAATGGCATTTGCCTTCGAATTCCGCGCTGGTGGACAAGAGCCCCGTTGGAGAATTGTGCCAAACTCGTCGTTCGAGGAAAGGCCACTCTTTGGTTGGTGCTGTGCACGACTGACACCGGGCAGACACAGTATCATTTTTCCAATGTAACTGTCCTAAGCTAGCTAGCGATGCAGACATTGGACACGAAGACGAAAAGAGAGGCACACACCTTCATGCTCGTCCGCAGGTAGGTCAAGAACAAACACATCACTCCACCGACGCATTCATGTTTCCGGCGGAAAGTCGAGTCCAGTCTGGAAGTACTGGATTGTCATTGTTTCCGTTGGAATTGCAGACCTGGGGAAGGGTCATTGACCGGTGAACTGCCCAACTCAAGGATAGGCCCTCCAAAACTTCATGCATTAAGGTGATGCAAGAAGACAAATTGAACCGTTGATGCTTTGCGGGCTTCGATAGGACCTCTCGACGTCGATGACGCCTGGGAAGGTAGGCATAGGCATTTCCCCTCCTCTGGACAGGCCGCGGCGCCTGCGAAGGATTTCGCCATCCGCCATTGACTACCAGATCGACTGATACTGTCAATCCTACCAAACAAAGAGCCCATAACAATCCACAAGTTCAAATTTTGGGAGCCTGTCGGAAGGAACTGCTCCTTTTCTCCCCGTGAGTTTGCCTCGGAAGCATGGTCCACGGCTACCGCCGGGATACGCAGTGTTGGTGGCGGTCGAGATTGGAGATCTCCTCACATATCGTTCTTCACAACTGCTTTGACACAATTACATTCGAAAACCAAGCAGATTGTGGTCGGAAATGTGGAACGCTCACATCGACGGCCTGCCGCGTCCGTTGCCGCCGGGATCTTGTCTCAGCCGTGCCTCTACTTTTTCAACACTCCCATATCCAATCCACGCTCTTCCCCAGTCCTCCATTCCACCAAATCTCCCCGCAACTCCAGATTTGCCCCTTGTATTGATGAGGAGGCCCGCATGGGGAACACGCGTTCCAACTTTCGGAATGCAATGTGGGTGGTTGCCCTCGGAATTCGATACTCCAGCTCTCTGAGTTGACTATAAAAGAACCGCTTTTTGCACGAGAGAAACCCCAAGAGCTACTCTTCTCAGCTCTCGAGTTCACGTCACTCGTAAAAATTGACCATGAATGATCAAAGAGCACTTCGTGCCAGCTTCGCTGGCCAAAATCAATTCAACTGGCGTAATCTTCGCCTGATTATACTTATTTCGATGGGAGCATGTACCTTTGGGTATGGAGTCTCCATCATCGGAACCACTCTGGGTGAACCTGGGTTCCTACTATATATGGGCCTAGTTGACTCCGCCACTGGGGAACCAACTACAAACTCAGCTGGACTCACCGGCGCCATTACGGGCACATTCTACGTAAGTGCTACTACCTTCGTAGGAGAAGTCTCTGACGCCGCGTCAGGCCGGTTCATTCTGCGGCCTCCTCGTAGGTAGCTGGGTGATGGACAAATACGGGAGGAAGGCAGGAGTGATATACGCCGCCATACTCGGACTCATTGGAACCATTGGAGTCACGGCGGCGCAGAACGTCGCCATGTTTGTTGTATTCCGGTTCTTCTGTGGAGCAGGAGCGAACAGCTTCTTAGGCGTCACAGGAGTCTTTACTTCAGAGCTGGCTCCCCCTGCCTTGCGAGGATTCTTCGTCGGCATGGTTGGTGGCGGGATCGTTATCGGCTACTCGATTGCTTCGCTTATGGGACTTGCTTGCTTCTATATCGACGATCTCCAGGCGCAGTGGCGGGTTCCATTGGGCTTGACGCTCGTGTTCCTGGTATTCATGTTGTGCATCCTTCCGTGGCTGCCCGAATCCCCTCGCTGGCTCCTCATGGTCGGCCGTGATGCAGAAGCCAAGAAACTCATTTACGACATTCATAAAAGCTCCAAGGACCACAGTCAGACATTCGCCGAACAAGAATTCTTCCAGATGCAACAGCAGATCGAGCTCGACAAAACCATGAAAACCTCGTGGTTGGAGATGTTCCGGAAGCCTTCCTACCGCAAACGATCCATCATCGCTCTGACGTTCGGCTTCTTCAACCAGAGCACCGGAATCCTTGTTGTGGGTAGTTACGGGACGCTCATCTACAAGAGCCTTGGGTATAACGCGAGGGACGTTCTCTGTTTTCAGGTCGGCTGGATCTTGACTGCAGTGCCATTCAACTTTCTTGGTAAGTAACAATGTCACCTACCTCTCTTCATTCACAAACATGCTAAGTCGGATGTCAGGCGCATGGCTATCGGACCGCTGGGGTCGTAAACCTATGTTCATCATAGGTCTGGCTGGCTGCGCAATCAGCTTGTCTCTGGAAGCCGCAATTGTTGCGACTTACGTGACTCCTGAGCAGCTCCTCCACCCAAACCAGGCTGCCCTTGGCATGGCCGTTGCTTCTCTGTAAGAAAGGCGATGCTCTCCGTGCAGTATGTTGAGCTAACATTCCGCGTCCAGGTATCTCATGATGGCATTCTTTGGTGCAACTCTCGATGTTGCTGGAACTCCTTTCATCAACGAATTGTTTCCCAATCATCTGAGATCAAAAGGCTACAGCATGACCTTGGCAATCATGACGTGTACTACGTTGGTAAGTATGGCTGTCATTGACTGAAACTCAAGTGCTCGCGACGAGCGACTTATGGTCCATCTTGCTGATTCGTGACACCATTAGACATACACCGAAGTTGGTCCCACTGCTCTACAACACGTCGGCTGGAGATACTACCTTCTCTTCATCTGCTCGTCGGTGGTTGGCTGCTTCTGGATCTATTTCACATTTCCAGAGACCAAAGGGATCCCGCTCGAAGAGGTGGCAGCACTATTTGGCGATGCTGATGAGGTGGTCGTATATTCAGCAAGTTTGAGCCAAGATGAGAAAGGACAGACTGTCCTTGTGGAAGGGGAGAAAGAGACCACAGAAGTCCACGTTGAGATTGCAAAGTAACCTGCGCCGACCCTGGTGTGGTGTGAGAACGGTGACTGACCGCGCTCATGACCGGAGTTGTACCGGATTCGACTCCTCGTGCAAACATCACCCAAGGGGATCTGAAGTTCAAAGTCAAGGGGTGAGCATGGAGTAACCACATAGTAGAGCGGCGAGTCCCCACATAGTTCGGTCATTGGCCACTCACGCGATCAATCTCCCTAATCTGCTTAGTGCCATTATTCAGCAAAAGAGCCGTTCAACGACTTCCCAATTCGGCTGTTATGACGGAATACAAGGGTCCTGGTCGTTCACATCACACTGAGGATCTGCATCTTACACCTGGACCCTCATTCCTCTCTGATACTACTCTAGGTACGAGGTAGATAGTGCTATGTCATATATGCTACCCTCTTCCTCCACAGGAGAGATCATGCTCTCAACATCGTACTTTAGTGCTTTACAGTCAATATCACCGTCGAAGGTATGGCATAGGACAGTCACCCCTCCCGGCCACATGCGGAAACCTTTCACAATGCACCATGGGTGTGCAAGACTTCATCCGCTTCGACCTAGACGAGTATCGGGCCAAAGTACGGAACTACGATGATCAAGAACTACAAAAGAAAGAGGTGGTCTTGATCCGGACGGCATACTCTGGACAGGCGGGGATTGTCAGCGGCGCCATCATGGCTCCGTCCACTGGCGGTGCTTCGATGCTCGGCTGCGTTGCCGCAGGCAGGACAATCCACCTGGTCGAACAGAAACTCGAGGTGGTGCGCGCCGAATTGACCAGACGTGGGCTCCCACTGCACGAGAAGAGGACGAGGGACCATGCAATTCCCGTCACCACGGGCAGCATCGCTGGAGCCATGGGGCTGGCCTCGGGCATGGAAGGACACATTCTTGGAACAGCTGCCGCTGCAGGAGCCAACCTCGTTGCAGTCACCACAGAGAAGCTGGATCGTGTCCAGACAGCTCCAGTGCGCCCAGGTCCTCAAGAAGCTAACAGCTTCCAACGTCTGAAGAGGTCTGTGACGGAGACTGCGACCTCACGCTCTCGATCCCTCCTCCACCCCTTTTCATCGGAAGACAAACTTCTCTTTCAACAATACGACGAGTTGGTTGCCCGCAAAAAGTCCCTCGAGGAACGCTACCAGAGGCTCCGCGAAGCTACTCTGGCGGCTGCGGGCGCGAAATGGTACTGGTACGTAGTCTACCACTACCCCTGTGCATCAGAAAGCCTCATAATTTCGACCCATTCAGGCTTGTGGATCGAATCCCTTCGCCGTAGAGACAGCCTCGGTCAATGGGACAAGACTATCCAACGGTGTCATCGTCGATGGGCCAAGGACGGACTGGAACGTTTCCAAAAAGACCTTGACGAGACGAAAAAGCGCTTGGATGAATGGAATGTCTTGGTTGTCAAAGTAAGTGATCCGGAGCCTTTCCCCCCAGCCTTGGAAGTTGGTTTCTCACTGTCAGCAGAGTCTACCGCCGGGACCCATTTCTGCACCCGATGCTACCTCTGAGATGCTTGTGACCCTGAACCGCAGCATCACAATCTGTCTGCTCCCTCTGGTGGGCTACTGGATATTGAGACTGTCCTGGTTCGGGCTGGCATATAGACTGCTCGTCATCGTGCTCCTGGGATTCGGCGTCCACGCGCGAATCTTGTGGGACTACGAGATGTACCCCTTGATCCCGATCCGCGTTGCGAAGACATAACATACAGCACGGCAGGCTTGCAAAACCCTTCGGTAATGGGGTGGTACCAAGCTTAATCAGCTAGGCCCTACCTCTTGCGCATTTCAACCATCATTCTGCAAAAGGTGGATATCCCATCACTGTTTCGCCGCTTCCTCACCTCGTACCGTGTTTCAGTCTTCGGGCATGCTCGACTCCAAGCGATGAATACGTGTCGTCCTCCGCCGGGCGACCAGGAAAATTTAACAGGTTCAGACCAGCGTTGGTGCGAATGAAGATGTGAGATCGTGGAGACTAGTGGTGCTTCACTGATTGGGAACCTACGGCCATGCGATCGGCATGTATACCACGGAAGAGACTGAATAACTTTGAAGAGCAACGAGGAAGTACTACTCTGATTTGCCTGTTCTACTGGTCAACGTTCTCCTTTTTGAACCTTAGGCAGCGAGCTCAAGCCTTGGCCTCGACGGCCTCGAGAATATCCTTGATCACAATCTTCTTCATCCTCATCACGACCTGCATGGCCCTGCTCATTTTATCCGCGTCGGCCGAGCACATAATATCCGCGAGCAGCTTGGGCACGACCTGCCAGTGCACACCGAACCGGTCCTTGACCCAGCCGCAGATCTGCTTCGATTCGTCTACCTCGGCCCCGTCCCCCCCGGCCTCGGTCAGCTTGGCCCAAAAGTAGTCGACGTCCTCCTGGCCCTCGCAGAGGATCTGGAAGCTGACCGACTCGTTGATCGGGATGTCCTTGGGCTTGGAGTTGAGGGCAAGCCATTGCATGCCGTTGAGTGTGAACTGTTTCCCGTTTGTGCGAAGCTTGGAGTCAGTGGTGGGTGCACGTTAGGAAAGAAGAAACGGGAGGTGGATTGGTCTTACAAGCACACTCATAACGGAACCGACCGGCTGCTTGTGGATCTCATGCCCGTTGTCCGTGAAGTGGTTGATGGTCTCAATGGAGGAATTAGGGAAGATGGACGTGTAGAACCGTGCGGCTTGTTCGGCCTGGGACTCGAAGAAGAGGCACGGGCAGAGCGAAATGGGCGCGATGGACATGGTTTCTCGCGTCTTGCTTGCTTGTTAACTCGTGCGAAGCAGGTATAGGAGGTATAGGAGGTGATGGGATGAAAGTCTTTCAGCTGCAGGAGTGTAAGGGAGAAGGTTTCTTGGCTGTCGAATTTCAATTCAATTCAGTTCAATTCACATCACACTTTTTTTTTGGCTCTCATTGTCTCATTTCACGATGCATGATTCCGTACTCTCATGCCCTTTATGTGCTCCTGTCATTGAGACGAGACAATTCAGACTATCTACCTTCCATTCATGCTCTTGTCCTGCCAGGCCGCCATTCAGGCAACAGCTGCGCCAAGGTAGACCGTGATTGGGCTGAACGCTTCCAATGCCGCAACGTCGACGGTGACCAGATGCCAAAGATTGCACCGCATCCGAATGTAGACCCTCCTACGGCGTTGAGACGAACCCGAATACGAAAATTGGCTGCTCTTAACCCACATTCTGCCTGCGCGTGCCTGGTCATGGCGGCTTGGCGTGCAGTGTTGGTGGAAACAGAACCATAAGGACCTTGGAATACTTGACCCCTACCGCCCTCGTCCCCAGCTTCAAAATATCAAAAACAGACATGGACACTGACCAGAGAGCATATCAGGCCCAGAGCAACTCCAAACCCCGCCGCCGCCGCCCACAGGGATGTCACTTCTTCAGCGCCGTCACACTAGACCCGTCTGGCGTGCCCGTCTTCAATTCCACTCCTGCCCGCTTCTCCCATCCCTTGAGCAGCTCCGTGTGGTCGGCGGTCGGCTCCAGCATGGCCATGGACTGCTTGAAGTAGCGGATGATCAGCTCGGGCATGTCGGTGTCGAAGTGCATGTTCTCAAAGACCTCCTTGGCGATCCCCACGTCCTTGATCAGCAGCGCCAGCTGGAAGCCCGAGGCATAGCGCCGGGGCAGCGCGTCCGTCTTGTAGCTGTCGGTGGTGGAGAAGTTGCGGCCGGTGCCCACGTTCAGCACATCGATCATCTGCACGGGATCCAGCCCGAACTTCTGGCCCGTGACCAGCGCGTCCGAGAGCGCCACGATTGACGCGGCGCTGATGTAGTTGTTCAAGGTCTTCATGACGTGGCCGGACCCGAGCTTGCCCATGTGGAAGACATACTTGGCCATGGCCTGCAGCACCGGGAGGACTTTGTCCACCGCTTCTTGTGAGTTGGAGCCCACCATCAACGTGGCATCTCCTGTGTCGGTGTCGTGCAGATGTGCCTGTGTGACTGGCGAATCGACCAGAACGAAGCCCAGTGCTTCGAGGTCTTTGCCTAGGCTTTGAGTATCGAACGGTGAAGACGACGATGTATCCACGATTATCGTTCCTGGTGAAGAAAGCATAAGTTTCCACACCCAAAAATGTGTCGATATATGGGAACAAGGTGTGAGGGAGAAAAAGCATACCAGGTTTCAGACCCTTTGCAATACCGTCATCGCCCAGAATTACCTCTCGGACCACCTTACCCTGTGGCAGCATCGTCACGATCACATCACAGTCCTTGAATCCTTCGACGCCTTCTTCAGCCACAGACGTGTTGGGATTCTCTTGAGCAAACTTCTGCTCCCGCTCCGGATCAGCGTCGCGGATAACAAGGTGAAAGCCTGCGCGCGGCAAGTTGGACGCCATCGAGGCCCCAGCCTTGCCTAGGCCGATATACCCAACTGTCCTGACTGGCATATTGATGGATCCCATTTCTTTGTGGCTAGGACCTAGGTACGCTAGAATTCGTGGATCAAACAGCCTTGCCAGAGTCCGGTAGAGAGGTTTTGGAAAGCAAAGGAGATAGGGTCGCCCGAGGGTCGTTAAGAGGCCCTATGTCTATCCTGTGCGTCACTTCGGCTTACCGTTCTCACCACAACTCCGCTCTTCGCAATTAATTCCGTCTCTCGGATAGGGTACGGGAAGGCGAGTGCGAGTGTGATGGTCGACGAGGTTGCCTATCCTACTCTGACTTTGCATCACTCACCTCAATGTGGCCAGATGAGGGGTGCCGAAAGGGCCCAATGCCCGCCTTCTCCATCGCCCACAAGTCGCCGTTGCATCGAAAAGGGCCCGAAACCCCACAAAGAGTCGTCACGAGACTTGGGGAAAGAAGGCAGCATCGCAAGTGAGTAGTGGACTCTCTGGGAAAGTACCTGGCGAGCTGGGTACAAGTAACTTGCCTGGGATCTACCGCCAAAGCTAACGAGGATGGAGAGTCAGTTAAGCTCTGCGAGTCCCTGCTGCTCCTGGTGGGTTCATCCCGGGCTATGGCCCCTCGAGACTCCCCCATAGTGGGACAAATACGCTTTTAACTAGCCAGCATCTCAGTGGAGCTTTGTGACCACTCCCCACGACTTCTTGTCCTTGGCACAGCAATGGTACTATGGGACAGGTTCGTTAGGTGACCAGGGGCGTCGGCCAGACAATCCCACCACTCACTCATCAGATACTGTATCAACAACCCAGACAGAGTTCCTTCTAGGCGTGGCATTTTGTGGCCAGCCTCGGGATGGGGCTTCGTCCTCCACCCGCAAGAGCCCAGCCTTTGCCTTGCCTTGCCTACTTGCCACTGGCCAGCAGATGCGCTCCAGTCATGTGCGGGCCTTCCGGGGTTGGTTTGTGCAATGTGATTTTCGCCTCCGCTGCTGCGGCTGCGTCCAAGGGATGGGATTATTCCTTTGTACCACGATCTATTCGCCGGCTTGATATCACAACGTGTTCCGCAGTCTTTCGTTGTTTGTGAACCTCAAGACCGCAGTCTTTACGAGCTTAGGAGTGTTTCTCTTTTCCGTCTTTACCCATTCCGAGTAAGCATAACGAGAGAACAACAAGACGCAAGAGCAGACTCGTAGCCATGGGTTCCTTGGGGTGGGAGCCTCCTTTGAAAGGTACGTACAACAAGTCGAACACAACAGGCAAATCACTCGACGTCAGTTTCACTGAGAAACCATGGCTCTAACTCGACTATTATTATTTGGCGAAAATAGTCATCATCGTCGGGGCAGGATTAGGAGGATGTGCCACCGCTCTGGCCATGCACCACGCTGGCTTTGAGGTGGTCATGTTCGAGAAGGTCAGAGAGTTCCAACGACTGGGAGACTCGCTGGGACTGGGCGAGAATGCGTTCAAGCTGCTCGACCGGTGGTCGCCGTTCCTGCGCGACCGTCTGATCGAGATCGGGAACAAGTCGGAATTCATGCAGATCCGTCGCTGGCACGACGGCAAACTGCTCGCTCAGCAGCCTCTGATGGACATGGCCGGATACATTGGCCATCGGGGAGACTACCATCGAGGCTTCTTGGACGCTGTGGCAGAGAAAGGGATTCCCCTGCACATGGGCAGCGAGGTGAGTGTCATCAGGCCACTTTTTTCGGCCACAAGAAGGGTCTCTTGACGTGTTACGATCCAGGTGGTTGAATACGACGACATAACACCGTCGGTGACGCTGAAGAACGGGGAGCGGCATTTCGCAGACGTCATCATCGCCGTCGACGGTAAGACCATGAATCTTTGCTTTCCCACAACAAACCCATCCCTTGAGACCTTTACACTACTGTGTGAACCAATGTGCTGATCCGGGGTGTCTTCAGGAATCAAATCGCGCGCCCGCGAACTGGTGCTCGGGTTCGACGACAAGCCCAAGTCGTCCGGGTACGCGTGCTTCCGGGCGTTCTTCAAGGGCGACAAGCTGAAGGGGGATCCCCTGACGGCCGAGTTCGTCGACAACGAGTGCGTCAACATCTGGATCGGCAAGGACATGCACGTGGTCCAGAACACGCTCCGGGGCGGCGACGAGTTCAACTGGATCATCACGCACAAGGATACCGCCGACATCAAGGAGTCGTGGTCGCAGCCGGGCGACATGGACGAGGTCCGCAGGCTGGTCACCACACTCGACCCGCGCATCGCCGCCGCCATCCGCAAGACCGACGAGTGCCTGGACTGGAAGATCTGCTACCGCGACCCCATCCCCACCTGGGTCAGCAAGAACCACCGCGTCGCCCTGGTCGGCGACTGTTGCCACCCGCATCTGCCCACGAGCGCCCAGGGCGCGAGCCAGGCCACCGAGAGCGCCGCCGTGCTGGCCCAGTGTCTCCTCCTAGCTGGGCGGGACAATATTCCATTGGCGGCAAGTTTCTCTCCTCCCCTCTCCCCCCATGGGTTTCCTTATTAATTTGCGACGCCGTTCAACAGACCCGCGTGTACGAAAAGATCCGCTTCCCGCGCGTGCGCCGCGCCCAGACAAACGGCGAAGACCTCCGCGACCGATGGCACACGGCGCTAGACCGCATGGGCGAAGGCGACGAGATCGACCGTGACTCGCTTTTGATAAAGGTAACGTACACATCCCACCCACCCACACACATATCATTTCTTTTTATATATATATATATATACAATTCTCCTCCACAATGTGCATCCGCGTTATCCGTGTATCCGTTGGTTTTTTGTATCGTTATGCTGTCCATTTAACTTCTTTGTCCCTCTCACACACACATATGCATAGAATGAATCCTGACACCTCTCTGACTTGCGTTTTCTAGAACAACGTCCTCTACGACTACGATGCCGAAGCGGACACGCGGAAGCGGTGGGCCGAGATGGCCGCGTTGGTGGGCGAGGAGTTGCGGACGGGCAAGATTTCGCCGCTGTGCTGATCCACGGGGGCTTGAATTATATACCTTGGTCACTTGAGCTGCTTCTTAGGGTTGTTTTATTTGTCTTAGCAAAAATCCATTGCACGCCATCTACCCGTCTACCCTTGGTATCTACAACTTCGGCTTGACTCCATCACTCAACAAATTTCTCTGATCCCCATCCAGAATCTCCCACCCTTTGCCCCTGAACCTCTTGCCCCAGATGCCATTGCGGCCGGGTGCCAGGATCCCGTTCGGGTCGAGCGCATCCTTGATGGTCTCATTGAACTTCCTCAACGCGCCGCCGCCCCAGCTGTACGTCTCGGCGACCTGGTCCGCGAAGAGCAAATGAGTGCGGTACTCGCCGTACCCTTCGCGGGCAGCGGCGCGGATCATGTCGCGCATGAGACCCGTGGCCCTCCTCTTTGCATCCGCATCGGCGCGGTCGTAGACAATATTGGCGATGTAGTGCATCTCGCGGCCCGCGACGCACATGGTGGGAAACACGTCGAAGCCCCATTTCGTGTGCAGCTGGGTGATGGTGCGGTGGATGAGACTCGCGTCCTTGCCCTTGGTCGGCGAGATTGGGGAGAAGAACAGGTGCGCGGCATTGGGTACCCAATTGAGCCAGTCGAGTTCCTTGAGCACCGGCACGCCGCTGCACACCTGGACACGGGAGTGGAGGTAGTGGTCCGCTGGCACCTCGGAAGGTAACATGAACCTGCTGCCCTGGACCTTGCCGAACTCGGCCTTGATGATCTTGAGCTGGGCCGCGATCGAGGTCGGGTCGCCGTACTGCGTGCCGTAGAAGACCCACGAGCAATCGCCGCAGGGCAGCTTCGAGGCCTTGTCCCGTATCACGTCCCGCGGCATTTGGCCTCTACCGCTGTACCAAAACGACCGCGGCTTTCCCATCACGGCCAGTTCTTGGATGACGTGCCTCAGCTGCGGGATGTTGCCCAGGATTCGCTTCTGCGCCAGCGGCCGAATGATCTCGACGATCTGCTCAAAGTCCTCCTCGCGGGGAAAAGTGATCATGTACGACTGGTGGCCGACCTCGGGCATCAGCCAAAACCCCATCTTGGTGACAATGCCGTAATTGCTCTGGCTGAAGATGCCGTCGACGTAGGGGCCGTAGGCTGCTTGGAAGGACTGCCATGTCGGGTTGTCCGCACCGTCCTTGCCTGGCATTGCGCCCATGCCGGTCCGGAGCAGCTCGCCTGTCGGAAGCACCAGTTCCATTCCACAGTGATTGGCAAAGTGGTCACCGTACGGAGTATATCTGCATTCATTCAGATCAGCCTCGTAGTCCTCATGGCCTGTGAAATCTGATGACTTACCCAACACCTCGATCGATGGCATTTCCAAGAACACTGCCACCTCCAAGATCCGGACAGTCGATCCACAGCGGCAGCCCTCTCCTCTGGATCTCTTCGTACAGTGCAAAGTAAGAAACCCCAGGCTCCACCACACAAGACGCATTATCCGCGTCCACATCGAGGATCTTGTTCATTCTCCGACCCAGATCAACAACAACAGATCCCGGAATACGGGGAGCTGCTCCCCCATATCCGATATTCCGGCCCATGGAGATCGGGTAGATGGGAATCTTGTGCTTGTTTGCCCATCTTACCACGGTCTGGACCTCGTCTGTGCTACAAGGATACACCATGGCACTGCATATCAGCTCTTCCTGATCGGCAATGTGATATGCGTCGTGGGTGTTCCTTTACAAGCCACGTTAGAAAACGGAAGGCTACGACGGCAGGGGGGAAGAGTTTCGTACGGATGCTCCATATACCACCCATCGACGAGTGGCCCGTCATTGACCTGGACATTCTCGTCTCCAAGGGAACTTTTCAGTTCGGCGACAGCCTGGTCGAAGCTTTCCCTGCTCACATCCGGCGGCAGCGCAACTCTTTTTCGGGGCACACTGTCCGGAAGCGACTTCTGAGAATACAGCCTCGCTTTAGCATCAAGGGCTTCTTGAGTGAGTCTTCGAGGTACGCCACTGTATCGAGCTGTGAGATCTGGGATAGAACCCTGGGTTGACGAGGCTGAGTTCGACATTATCGTGAATCACCCGCTGTGATTTGTTCCCCGGAAAGCGGCTATACTATTGGAAAGGGTCAAAACAATTGCGTCGACTTGAAAAGAGATGGCTCGTGGTCAAAGCTAACGCCAAAGGTCCACGACTACTTAAATGGGCAACTGGACTCGCCCCACGATCTCAAACGGCTGGACGCATCCTCGGAAGCTGCCAGACAGAAGCTGTTCCTCCGCAAGCCCCTCATTTTCCCAATCTGGTCGGTGGTTGATACGGGGGATAAACTGTGGTTCGATCCACATCCGAGAATGTGGAGGATGGGTATTCTCCCCGTGGCCTGCTGGTTCCTCAGAAGCTTCCCACTTCTGATGTCCGGTCAGCGCTCCTTGGTCGCGGGATAATTCCGGTGGTCCAGGTTGGCAAACTGCCGTGATTTCGTGGCTAGCCTTGTGCTGGGACTGAGCAAGTCTTCGGGCTGTCCATTCCAAGCCGTATAGCCTATGAAGATGGACCCTATCTCTTGGTGTCCTTTCTCAAAATGAAGGGAGTAGATCCTCACGCCGACTCTGCCATCAACACGTTGAAGCACATGAGGTAGCGTTGAGAGCTGCAGTCTCCAGGGTGGTACAAAGTTCATGTTCAGCGCCTTCACATGTTGTCCCGAGTAGGGATCTCACGAAATTCGTTGAAATCCATTATCTGTCAGTGGTAGCGTTTCGCTGTCTGCCGGCGAACGGAGTTCGAGGAGTCTGCATAAGTTGCAGGAGCTGGGGCGAGCCGAGACCAAGCCCCCTCGACACTCGTTATAAAGGCTGTAGAAATGTTCCCATTCGTGCCTTTCCAATGAAGCGTCGTCTCGCATACCGAAAGCGCCAGGTGCTGTAGGCAGACTGTTGCAAGCATAGGGTAGACGGAGGCAGTAGCAGATAGACAGCACACGCGTTCGACTTCCACTCACGCGAGAATGCAGCGGACTGGTAGCTGCACCTTTATGTCGACAATCACTTCTGCAGGATCTTTCTCAAGTGTGCGCCTTGACTGTCGCAATCTGCTTCGAGTGGCATGAAGTCCAAGGAAGGGCAGAGTCCTCCTGCGCCCCTGCCGTTTGTGCTCGACTCACTCATCCCATCGTCACTGGCTCCTGTCTCTCTGTGGACAAAGCCACCTGAGGAGCTTGTAGCAGCCCCATTTACGCTACTGGAGGCGCTGCTGGCGCTTTTCTTGTGTTCGAATTTCAGCACAATCATTCTGACAAGCGTCCAATAACTGTCAGCAGAGGTTTCAAAGCCCATCTCGCTGACATTTGCGCGGGACAGCCTTGCACGGACGTCATCCCACAGGGTCTTCCAGTTTGCCAGGGCAGTCTTCATCGGTTCGTATACTAGATGTGGCTCCGAAGCTAGCGAAGTGGCCGATATCCGATTGAGTGGGTTTCCAAAAAGATGCTGCCAACAGTGGGTATACAAGACTTGCAAATAAATTAGCAACGTTCAACGAGACCGGCCTGCAAAAAAGGATCCCTTGAAAAACATACCGTGGGCAAGGTAAAGCATATCCCAACAACATAGATTCTCGTTCTGGTATGCCGCCTTGAGCTCGCTAGGATGGACAAACAGGTTCTGGAAAGCTTCGATCAACTTCATCCGCGGACGAGGAAATGAACCCTGTTGTAACATGTCCGCATAGCCGGTCAAATCGAAATACTCAGGATGGCATGGCAGCTGAAGATCTACTTCGCAGTAGTTGACGCGAGGAGGAACATTATTGAAGATTCCCATGGCTGAGTCCAGTGCAAGAAGCACGTTCATGGTCCTAGAACAGAGCTGTCAGGAAAAGAGCCATTCGGCGCAACACAAAAAGGGAGATACCTACCGAATGCGGGCCTCAGTCCGCACCCAGCGCTGAAAAGCAAGATCGTCCGGTATTGCAATAACGGTCGGATGCTGCGCTGCCGGCAAGCCGAAATATCTCGCGAGCTGGGGTTAAGTTAGATATGAACGTGGGAGCGGGCAAGGCTGACTGACATTCAGAATTGAAGGAAACCTCTGCCTTCTCGCTCTTCTGCGGCCAGCTAGATTCCCCGAGAAGTATTGGACGATGACCAAGAGGTAAGCCCCTTGAAATTGTTGAAAGTGGTATTCTATGGCATCCTCATCTGGTGCTTCCAAAACCCCTAGAGTGCCAAAGAACTCGTCCCTCACCTCTGGCAGCGAGAAGATGTATGATTCAATGACGTCCAGAAGACTCTTCATCCAAGCGACTTTTGCCGGCTCGGAGTACATAGCCCCTAGAGTGACACAGCCCAATACAAGGGGTATAGGGGCAATAGCTGGTTGAAAGGATGGGCGATGGATTATCGGGCAGTGCCGATGGTAGTTGGTGAAGAACAGATTGAGGCAGTGGTCTATTTCCACGTGGGTGAGGAGTCCGATATTTGCTTCCAAGAACCCGAGCTGTGGACTATCCGGATAATCCATTGCAAACTTGGCGGCTGCGTCCATCAATGACTGTCTGATCTCATAGGAGCGAGGTTCGAGCGTTATGGCAGTGGCCGATACGATACCCGTCCCACTCGTGATGTGCGGTACATCAGCAGTCAGAGGATACGAGCCAAAAGTCAAGGTCTCGAAGCCTCCAAAGAAAGAGTCAAAGTTCGATGCATCCAGATCGACCAGACTTGCACCGGCAAAAACATCGTGATTTTCATAGTCCTCGCTCCAGTGTGAGGCTTCGGAGGAGTCCTCTCCTTCGTTGACCGTTGCATCGTCCTCGTCACCTCCGGCGCCTGGAGGGGTATCTCGAATCGGGAAGCGGGGGACCAGGTCATCGCCATCAGGAGCGTTTAGCAGATGATGGATCGGGATCGCGTCTCGACTTCTAGGCCTGGCAGCTTCTTGTGTACTCTGTGGGCTGGATGCCGCTACACGCCGGGTCAGGAGAATGTCGAGTTTGTAACAGCATCAACCACTTACTTCGGATGCATTCCTTTCCAAGTTCCTGGCAGCGAGTACAAGGCGTTTCTTGGTCACATTTTGTCCTCAGTTTTACACAGGAGAGGCACGAAGATCTCTTTCGACCTTTGGATTGCCCTTCGGGTACTGGCGCGGAGCCGCGTTCCTTGCATCGAAACTGATGAGCTCGCAGAACATCACTGGGTCAACGTTAGACGTCCCCTCTTGACTTGGTTAGGGGAGATCGGTGATACCTTCGCTTAAAGCACTTGGAACAGAAATTACAGGTGAAGGGTCTCTGTGCCACATCTGTAGGAGCGAAGTCAGCACACGTGAAGCAGGCCAAGTTAGGGAAGCGATAGTTACAGACGCTGCTGCTGATGACGGAGCATATGGGCCTTTCGCACAAACGACTTGGAACATGACGGGCACTGAAACCTCTCCTGCCACTGACGAGACTGATCCATGACTGAGGCTGTCATGGGCAAATGGGATTCGAGATGTCAACGACTGGGGGTGCGCCTGGGCCAATGGGTAGCAGGATTGCTGGGCAAAGATCGGTTGTGATTCTCAGTGCCGGTTTTCGGGAACATGGATATTACACATGACACGACGTGTGCTGGAGTCGTCACAGCATGGCGGTCAAGCGGCCGCAGGTTGTTCGTTATCTCGAGGTTCGTGTCATCAGAGACCCATGGATGACCACACAGAGCGGGAATGGGGCGAGATGAGGCGGCTCGACAAAATTGGCGTTAATGCAGTTGATCCGCAGATCCTGTGGGCTTGGATGATCTGGTCAGGCGGACTTTGATGTGCAGAGGATTCCAATCAGAACGGCGCAGCAGTCCGGTTGGTAGCACGCAGGTTTCAGAGAGAGGGCGAGAGGTTACGAAGAGCTGCCGGGAGTGGAGAGGGGAGGAAGTGAGGAAGAGGATGATGGTGATGATGACAGTGATGGATGGCAAATGGCAGATGGCAGATGGTGGATTATGGATGGTGGATGGTGGATGGTGGATGGTGGATGATGGATGATGGATGATGGGCAGGTAACTCAACCTCGTGTCTGTGACGGTCTGAAAGGTGGATTGGCAATGCCAGGCGAACCAACCAATTCTGGCGGGTTTGGCTGAAGCAACAATATAATAATCAATGGGGCGGGGAAGAGACTGAGAGACTGAGAGACTAAGAGACTCAGTGAGAGAGGAACAAAGAAGGAGAAGGTCATGCGAGCCCCCCTCCAGTCACCGCAATCCACACAGACACACATCCATCCAGTCCTTGCTTTTTGCCTAGACGAGAAAATTTGCTCTATCCAAAAGTGCGGCAGAGAACGAGCACAGGTGCCCACCCCGGTTCCCCAGGCCCTCACCCCCCAAATGCCCAGTGCCTATTGACACCTCCCGAGCTCCCTCCACAGGCCCTAGGCTTCTTCTAGATAAGACTCGGGGCAGGGAGTCGCCTAACTTCTAGGGGGTGCAGTTGCCCGATGCCCAGCGCGTGGTTGCCGGATTGATCTTTGCCCCATCCGCCTTGGCGAGCCGCTGTCTTTCTCTTATCCACCTAAAGATCCGGGGGAACGACCATCAAGAGCACATTCGCAGGCTGACCCAGTTCTTTGCTCCTTGTCATCCATACCAAGGTAGGCACAGTGCTCCAACGCTTGTAATCTCACAGGAATATGCGGCGATGCCGTCTTTCAGATTCGCAGCCGCCGCCTAGAGGACATCGTCTGCACGTCCTCTACCCTTCTGCTGTGGTCCAACTTGCCTCCTCTTCGATTGGGGCGATCTCCAACCACCTCCTGCATCTGGCGTGGTCAATGCTCGGAAAGAAGTCGTCACCTTCGAAGACACAGGAATGCTCCCCGGCCTCTTTACGAATCCTAGTTGCATTGTCTCCCTCTCCACGATTGGGGTGATGCGTTGTCCTCACCGCTACTGCGCCACAGGCACTGCAACCCAAGCTCAGTGGTTCACAACTTGATGGAGCCAATGACCTCGTTGTCCAGCCTCTGCGTGTTGACCATCGCCGGTACAAGCTCACTAACCCTAGTGGCTCCAGCCAGTGCCATGTTGCCTTCCAGCTCTTCTCGCAGGATCTGGACCATTCTCCTGAACCCGGCTTCTCCATAACCACCAGTAAGGCTGAACAGGAAAGGTCGCCCTAGCCCGACTGCACGCACCCCCAAGGCAAGCGCCTTCAGGATGTCCGTGCCGCGACGAATTTCGCCGTCCAAGAACATCTCCATTCGGCCATTGAGCAGATGTGGCGCATATCGTCGGATCTCTAGCAGGGTGATCATTGGCGCTTGTGCCCTGAATGCGACAATTAACTCTCCGAAGAATGAAGATTGCCGAGACATCACTTACGTATCCTGGGATCGGCCTCCGTGATTAGACAAGACAATTCCTTCCACTCCCTTTTCATACGCAAGGACGGCATCCTCGACACTTTGGATCCCTTTGAGAACAAGAGGCAATTTCGTAACCTGGCGGATCCATGCAATATCATCCCAAGTCAACTTTGGATTGAGCAGGCCGCTCGCAGCCACTTTAGCCACACCGGGTTTCTGTTCTTCGAGCATGGCATATTGGTCTTCGTCACTGATCTGGACTCGCGTCAGAAGCTCCAATGATTTTCTTAAACACCACAATAGAGCCTCTGCTTACTTGGACCTTCAACCGCTCATCTCGCTCCCGCTTTCCGAGAACAGGCGAGTCCACAGTCAACCATATCGCACTCACCCCCAGTTTCTCCACTCTACGAATCATGGCTTCCGTCTTCTCAAAGTCTCGATTGAAATATAGCTGAAAGAACACCGGCTGACTGTCGCTGATTCGGGCATTGATAATTTTCTCGATGGGCATGCTGGGACTCGTGGGTATTACTTGTATGAGCCCTTCTTTTCCAGCTCCAGAGGCAAAGGCGCATTCTGCGTCGGGATGTGCATACCTTCCCAATCCCGAGGGCGAAACATAGACCGGCAAGCTGGTGTTCTTGCCGAGAATGGTGGTTCTAGTATCAACTTGATCCACGTTGCGGAGGACTCGGGGACGCAGTGTCAATTTGCGAAATGCACGAGCAGCTTCGTACCGGCTACGTTCATCGTCTGCCCCGGATGAATAGTATGCCCAACCGGCTGGACTGAGGTATTGCCTTGCGACGGCTTCGAAGTCATTGACGCTGATCAATGACCTCAGTGGTGGAAACCGCGTCTTTAGATTCTGCTCCCGTCTGCCTTTGGATGTGGATTGTGTCTTGCGGATGCTGTCCGAGTCGACGAACCCGCGAAATGAAGTGGAGGGAAGTGTCTGTTGCACCAGGTCCGGACTGTGCACGCTCTCGTACTCGGCCGTGGCATCCTGGCCTGCACTTTTCAAAAGGACCTGCGCCCCGCCCGGATGTGCGTCAAGGAAGTCTGCAGCAAATCGCATTGATCTCGTGGTCTCAAACTGGCTCTGATGCACGCACCTGTGATGTCGTAGGCTTTGCCGTACAAAACGACCCAGCACGACTGCCTGTCGTTGTGTCTGGCGATTTCCGAGCTCTTCAGCTTCTTCATCTCACACGAGAACGTTCTCAAGCAGTGTATTCTAAGTCACTGGCTTGTGTTCAACTCGCGTATCATCGGCAGCCCCAATGGTCAGCAATCAGTCAGTACGCGGGCTTGAAGCATTAACCCGAGGCTAGATCCTGTACTGGTCGCGCTCTCTACCGAGCATTGGCAAAGATGACATGAAGATTGGTGGCTTTTTCTCCGCACTTTGAACTAGCCCGAGACCGAGCAATGCTCAGAGAGGGCGTAGGATCCGGACTTAGCGGCAAGGCCGGCCGTCCACGGCGGCGACCATTCAAATGTTTTACTGGAGATGGTCTCCGTACCCACAAGAAATAGGGTGAGGCTGACCACCTGTTCGTCCCCGACAAGATAATGTCCAGGCGTCAGGCAATCCACTAATATGTATATATACCCCTGCAGAGAGCGGCGCGCCCATGTAAATGACCCCCACCTCTAACGGAAGCGACGGTCTCTGAACAGAAAAGTGATAAGCCTGCAGTTGTTGTCTTTGAAGGGCGCAGGTCTCGGCGACGTGAGCCCAGGACGAATTTAGCCGGTTTCTCGACATCACGACAGCGAGAACCAAGGAGACAGCCCAGAAGACATTCCTCCCCAGCTTTGCACAACCCGACTGAATAAGAGAGCTTAGCATCCAAGTCGACAGGAACTGTGCCAATACAACCGCTCTAACACTTCGACATGGCCCAAGACATCAATGTCATGCTGTATGGGCTTGGAGCGTAGGTCTTGATCCTAGACGTCTTCGCAAAGTTTCTCGGCTGACTGAGCAGGATCGGATCGTTTTACGCCTTCATCTTGGGCCGCGCGAAACGTGTCCGTCTAACTGTGGTGGCACGTTCCAACTATGAGGCTGTCAAGAAAGATGTCCGTCCTGTCGACCGAACTTGGGGGATTGAAGGCTGACACCCTTGACATTGCAGGGTCTGCACATCAAAAGCATGAACCATGGCGATCATATCGTGCACCCTGCCAAAGGTGAGCAAGATTTTCGCCTACCTGTCCACGCAGCTGACAGTTACATGACTGGTAGTGGTCAGGACGCCAGCCGAAGCTGGCAACACTTACGATTACATTGTGTGCGCGCACAAGGCCATCGAGCAAGCTTCAACAACCAAGCAACTGGCCCCTGCCGTTGACGAAAGCAAGACTTGTATCGTGATCATTCAGAATGGCGTCGGAAACGAAGACCCATTCCGGGAAGCATTCCCCAAGTCCCCCATCTTGAGCTGCGTGGTATGAAAACAGCCTTTCCGCCAATTCTAGCTTGTCTGACCGACGTTTCTGCAAGACATGGGTTGGTGCCAGCCAAAACACCCCAGGAATCGTGAACCACTGGAAGTCGGAGAACACGCAGATCGGAATCTTTCGAAACGAGGCACTCGAAGCGGCCAATGAACGAGCCCGACTGGACGAGTTCACGGCGCTGTTGCGTGAAGGCCAGACCCCGTTCTCAGTCGAGGAAAACATCCAGATCCAACGTTGGGAGAAAGTCATCTGGAACGTGGCGTGGAATTCGCTGACGACGCTCACGATGCTAGACACCCACTCGTGGCTGAAGTCGTCGCCCAATGCCACGCCCATGACGCGAAACCTCATGCGCGAGGTCATCGACGTGGGGAGGAAGTGCGGCGTGCCACTCAAGTACGAGTTGATTGACGAGTTCATCGACAAGATCCTCGACATGCAGCCGATTGGTAGTAGCATGCAGACGGATTGCAAGATGGGGAGACCCATGGAGGTGGAGGTTATCTTGGGGACTCCGGTGCGCAAGGGGAGGGAACTAGGAGTCCCGATCCCGACTCTGGAGGTGCTCCATACCCTGTTGGTAGCTGTGAACTCTCGGATGAAGCCCAGTCCGTCTTGAGGCACGACGTTGGATGGGGGAAAAGATTGGTTTCCAGCTCTCTTTTCATTCTCTGCAGGTCCCAATATGCTAGATCACCGGGTGGAAGACGGTCCAGGCGTTCTCGGGCAATGAGAGGCTCTTATTGTTGGTAGACTTGATGGAGCGCAAGGTGGACGCATGAAAGAGGACTTGTGTTTGCGAATGTAGAAAGGAGTCAACCTCTGTCTGTGCGACGACGCGCTGCAATGCATCTACGTACTCGTAGCAAGCTGAAATCCCACTAGCGGTAGCACCGCATATCCGAGGAACCAGCCTTGTCCCATTCATCATACAATGCTTCCTTATCCTTTGTCGTGAGTCGTGACCCACCCATGTACTTAAGTAGTATCTACCTCCCCATCCACCCCCCATCGACAACCAGTACATGACCAGACACATACGCGCTGGCCGGACTCGCCAACCAGACGACAGGGCCCCTGAAGTCCTCAGGCACGCCCCACCTGCCCATGGGGATGCGCTCGAGAATCTGCCTGGCGCGGGTCTCATTGTTGATCAGCGCCTCGTTCATGTCAGTGCGGATATAGCCCGGTGCGATGGCATTCACATTGACACCCTTGCCGGCCCACTCGTTGCTGAGCGCCTTTGTAAGCTGGGCAATCCCGCCCTTGGCGGCAGCGTAGGCCGGCACGGTAAGTCCGCCCGAAAAGCTGACCAGGCTGGCAATATTGATAATGGAGCCACGGTACCCTTGCCCTTGTCCTTGCTGCTGTCCCAGGGGCGGTCGAGTGAGCATGTACGCCCCAAAGTCGCGACACAGGGCAAAGACACTACTCAAGTTCACCTGCAGCACCTCGTCCCAGTCCTCCAACGGAAACTCGTGCGCGGGGTGCCGTCGCTGGATGCCCGCGCAGGTCACCAGGATGGAGACGTCGTGGCCATCTTCGAGAATCCGTTTCGCTAGCCCCGAGACGTCTGGTTGAGAGGCGAGGTCGGCGGTGTAGATTGTCGCTTTTCGCGAGAGGGATTCGATGGCTTGTTTTGTGGTTGTGTTGGAGGTGTCTCTCTATTTTGGCAGTGTCAGAGACACACACACACACAGAGAGAGAGAGAGAGCGAGATTCGTCGCCATTACATACCTGGACCAGTACGAGATCCGCCCCCGCTTCCGCCAGGGCAACAGCCATGGCAGCCCCGATGCCTCTCGTGGCTCCTGCGGTCCTTTCGTAAGTCCTCGGTATACAGCAGACAGCATATCTGGAGGAAGTCCGCACTGACCCGTGATGACGGCCGTCCTGTTCTCAAGTGAGAACATGCCGGGAAATGTGAGCGCCATTACGACAAGCTGTACTGGCTATATGATCTTTAATCTGTGGATAGTTTTACTGCGCCGCGACAGACTTGTGGTTATGTCTCCTTCCGTCTGTTAGGCGCCTCTTGTCTTAGTGTTGGTCTTAGTGTTTATTAGGTATACCTAGAAGGTATGGTTAGTTAAGAGCCTCAAGTAGATTTAGTTAAAGGGGTTAGTTAAAGGGACTCCCTAAAGTTAATATCAAGAAAGAAGGCGCCTAACGCATGGAGTAGGAGATTAAAGGTATACACTAAGGTATAGGTACCCTTATTCCACTAGCGAGTTCTAGCTTCTCGGCGGTCATAGTAAGATAACGCGTTGGTTTTGTAGCTACAAGACCAACCTCCGTCGCGAACCCGTCCCTCAGCCCCGCCCCGCCCGTCCCCTTGGTGACTTTAAGTAAATGTGTCTCCGTCGTACAGCATTATATGAACAACGGTTACTATCCTCACCCCGGCACAGGGTCTTTTCCACCCAGATTGTTATTTGGCCGGGTTGCCACTCGCTTGACTTGCACCAATTGGTCTCCTCAGGCCACATGCTTGCATTGAGCGGCATCACAATTGAGGTCGGATATAATGGCAAGTCCACTCTACTGATCGTCGTCTCCTGGAGCCGGCGAGCCGAATGACGTCCGGTTCACTCGAGCCACGACTTCTCTTGGATATGATTATAACTTACGTCCTCGAAACTCACTGGCTGGCTCGACCATGCTCAGCTCCTCTCTCTTTAGCGAAATCCATACCAAAGCCGCCTCGGCATCTATCGTAGTGGTAGCGCCGCCATGCTCGTCGACATCGAGTCCTCGTCCAATTCCGAACTGAGAGACACCGTTACTGACTTGTTCCTGCAACCATTCTTCACTCTGAGCAGACGCTTCACACAGTATACACTGGTCCGATTGTCTTTCGTCATCTTCCTCCTCCCAGTCTACTTCTACTGCCAAATCTTCTCGGCTCTTCCCACCATTATCCGAAATTTCGTCAGACTATTCAGTACTGCTGGGCGCCGCCGTCTCCGCAACGCATCAGATGTGTGCAGGCGCGAGGAAAGACACATTGCTGAACAGCAGTGGCACGACACGTATCAGTTTCCGAAGGCTGCCGTGATCTCAGGCTCAGATAGCGCCAAAAGATGGAAGACGCCCTTGGTCTGTGTCTCCGTCTGCGGCATATCTGTTCGTGTAGCCCACGCAAAACCTGTGTCTTCCTCCCCCGACAGGAAGCAGATACTTCTTCTCCACGGGAACCCCAGCTGGAGCTTCATCTGGCGAGATATCATCCAGCCTCTCACGGAGTCGGGTCACGAAGTCTTCGCTGTCGACTGGCTTGGTCATGGCGCTTCGGATAAGCCTACATCAGTGCGCGAGATCTCCTTCGAGTTGCACATGCGGACACTTCTCAACGTCATCGAAAAGCTCAATCTCAAGGACTTCTACATCGCAGCACATGATTGGGGTGGCTGTGTGGCACTTTGTACAATTCCACACTTCCCCGCGAGCCACAGATGCGAGGGGTTGCTACTACTGAACTCATTCCTCCCAGCTCGACCGAGCGACATCACACTTCACTCTTACCTCCTATATGTCCTCTGGTTTCTGAGCACCGGCATCCTCGGCCCGCTCCTGCCAGAGTCAATGGTCATGCGCTTCATGGCACCCAACATCACTTCGACTATCGCACGGGCATACTCTTGGCCGTACGACTCTACACCCATGAGTGCCAAGGCCAGCATCAACCGGTTCTCTCACATCGTACCTGGCTTGCCCGACTTCATCCTGAACCTACGGTCAACCTACCTTTGGCGGCTCATTGAAGGATTACTTGGACCAGAGCGCTTCACCAATATTACGGCTCAGGCTAGGCTCGCTGATCGAGACAGAGCTGTCAGGGATTGGTGGTTCGGTGCGCGCTCTTCGAGCCATAGTCATGCAGAAGTCATCAGCCGCGAAGATGTCTCTTCTGAAAGCGATCTATTGACTACCGTGAACGGCACCACTTCCTCACCGCAAGCAGCAATTCCACCGAAGAACGTTTTCGTCGTGTTCGGACCAGACGATCCTTTGTTGCCAGACTTCAAGTGCATCCTCGAGAAAAGTATTAAAGTTACTACTTGCATAAGCCCAGATTTGGACTATTCCGAATCGTCGGCTTCACGGGAGAAGCGCGAGGAAGATAGTTACCAAGACGCAAAGACGGAGGAAAATGGTGAGGCGAAAGAGAAGACCCCACGGTCCAAAGATCCCAAGGGATTGGAGTTGCGAGAGCCAACCCCAGTACGATCTATCAATTACGAACAGCAGGAGCAGGAGCGGATCGTCTCGCAGCCCTATCCTAGGCTCAGTATTGTCGGATCCGGGTCGGGTTCCGTGGTGCAAAATGGGTGGTTGATGGTCGCCAATGGCACGGCAGGACACTACCCTATGGAGACTAAGGGCGCGGTAGAAGTCATAAAGGGAGCGATCGATGTCTTGATCGAGATCTGCACTTATAGATCTGCCACCGACTGAGGCACAGAAAGAGCGTCCAACTTTTGGATTCTCGGAATGACTGGTTCACCAAAAATCGCACTGAATTACGCAAATCATACCAGACCTTTCTATGTAAGAGCAATTTTTTTTAACAGGATGAGCGGGATTGTCGCGGCCAGTCGAACGCGCAGGCTTGGACAGTGTGACTCTTCGCCGCGTGGACTTATCTCCCACATTTTCAAAGTAAAGATTGCTCCTCTTTCAGTTCCACATGTCATTTTTCACCTTCACATGCATACTGTGCGTTTGATCGTCTAGAGGCTTCCATTTGAGATGCAAGAGCACGTCACAATGACATGTTGAGTCCCCAACGGTCGTGATGCCGGATAGCAGCCTTGCCGTACCGTGCCGTATTGCGTGGACAACGAGACGAGCAGGGGGGGAAAGCCGCCCGAGTTTGTTGCAGCTGGCAACATCATTTGCAGGAGTTGTCTCCATTGTCGGATCCGACCCATTTTTGTCGTTCCCACCAAAAGGTCCATTGAACGTTCATTGTGCCGTTGTGCCGGAATGCAGAAAGTCTGACGGCAATATACGGTGTAACAAGCCCCCTGAGAATGCGTGACGTAATGTGAGACCCAAGGCTGCAGGTACCTATCAAAACCGTGTCTTTTACCGGACCATTGCAAGAAACAGCCCCGGGGAGGATGCGAGGTTGGTTGTAAGCTCTCCACTGAGCTTGCCCAGGCCAATCCTATAGCAGGTCACTGAGCGCACATCCCAAGCTCGAAAATATAACGAAACGTATTTTTGACGTCCTGGAGATCATTTCGCTTGTGTTACTTTCACATGCTCCGAAAAATGTCTTCCATTGCCTCAATACCGGCTCGTCGGGTACAACGGAGAATTCCGTTTTAGTGCTGAAAGTCGAGACTGCATGCAGCGTGGGAGGAGCTCTTCAACATGGGGGGAAAAAAGTGGTTATTTAAAAGCTGCTACATGGCCAGCGTGCCCTGGAGCGCCAGAATGTTCTCCCCCAAAGGTAGTAAGTACACAGACTGATCTCTCTCTCTCTCTATCGAGGAAAAAGAAAAATGGCATCGAAAGCAAACGGCCATGCCAACGGCGTGGACTTCGCCCTCTGCGTCAAAGGCTGTCCTGTTTCGCAAACCCGCGTCCCCGCAACCGATTTATACGATTACATCGACCGACCTGGCGTCGCACGTGCGAACCTAGCAGTCACGACGGAAGTCCCTCACGGTTCGAAAGAACATGCCGCCAAGTACAAAGACTACACTGTCCTCCAGCAGCACGTTCTGTTCTGGGACCGGGACGGAGACGGCTGCATCTACCCGTGGGACACGTACGTCGGGTTCCGGGAGCTGGGCTTCAACGTCATCTTCTGTATCCTGGCGGTTCTCATCATCAACCTGAGCTTCTCCTACCCGACGCGGCTTGCTCATTCGTACCTCCCGGATCCGTTCTTCAGGGTATACGTCGACAGTATACACAAAGCCAAGGTAAGGTGCTACTGCTGCTGCTGCTGCACTGACTTGGTTTGGGTCGCTCCATTGTTCTTCGCAAACGCTGACATGATGAAATCTTCCCCGCAGCATGGCTCCGACAGCGGCGTCTACGACACCGAAGGACGCTTCATCCCGCAACTCTTCGAGAACCTGTTCTCGAAATGGGACAAGGACGGCGACGGCGCCTTGCGATTGAGCGAACTGGCCAGCATGATCAAGGGCCACCGATGCGCGGCCGATCCATACGGGTGGGGCGCGAATTTCTTCGAATGGGGCACCACATGGCTTCTCTTGCAGAAGGACGGGAAGCTCTACAAGGAGGATCTTCGCCAGTTGTACGACGTAAGCACCACTTTTTCTCTTTCCCCTCCCATTTTATTCTTGGCTGCAGGCAGTGTCCCTGACTTCGTTTTTTTGGCCCCAGGGGTCGCTATTCTGGCGCATCCGGGATGAGAGGAAGACGGCAAAGGGATGGGACCGGGGCTTTGGTCTCGGGGGAGACTGGTTCGTTGGCGGCAAGAAGCTCTGAGGCATATTTCTTCTTCCATACATCTCAGAGTCAATCGCCTGATCTCATGCATAAGGCCTTGGACGATCTCGAGCTTGAATCAACGAATTCGGTGGTACATCAATATGAGAATTACGCCTCTGAATTTCCCGGGAAGCAGGCCCGTCACCGTGGCCCCCCTTTAGAAGGCCGCGTTCGTAGCACTATTATTTACTTATGAATCTTTCAAGCCTCTTTTCAATATCTATTGTTCTATCCATTAACTTCCCTCTTCTCTTACTTGTTACTAGAGGATAAAGATCTGCTCTCAACCGTGCGGCAAGTTCAGCATGTCCGCAAACCCATCGCAGGGCCAAGAAAACAGCTGGAGCGCAGGCACATCGACGACTTCATTTTCCAAGGTCTTTTGTTTCCCCCCCAAAAAAGCGCCGCAAACGTTAGAAAGTTGAGACCAAGTGTGGCGGAGTGTGTTAATACGTACCAGAGATGTCTGCTGCTGCAGAAAGAGGTCCCCGGACAGACTACCAAAGGTGGAAGGGTCCGGATTCTGATATAAAAAGGTTGGCCAGGAAAAGTCTTCGTCAATGTCGGAGGAGTCGAGATGGGGCCACTCTTGCATGTGCAATTGAGATCCGGTGATTTGCCATGGCTGCTGCGCTCCGTACAGCCCGGTTGGGTCTTGGGAGACTGCGAAGTCCTCGTCCTTTGTGCCGTGAGTCTGCGCCGCAGAGGCGTCGCCAGGTTGATTTGAGCTCAACGTGCCGATAAGCGGATCATTCCCGCACGTACGTGGTGACTCGAGCTCAATGCTAGCAATGTCGAATTCGACCGTGTGGGAAAGCCGTCTAACGAGTTGCTGCAGAGGGGGACAACAGGTGAGTATTCCTATTCACTGATAACAGCGCCGCGCGCTCGGGTGAGAAAAGGGTGTACTTACTTTTAAAACCCCGAGGCATTGGATGGATCCTTGCTCAAGGCATGAAGTTGAAGCCAGGAGCCGGATCCCGCGATCTGCATTGCGCCACGCTTCGATGGGGTTCTTTGTCCCTTTTTGGGTGGCGATCAGGAACATCAGACAGACCACGGAGAGAAATATCGTGTAGATCGAAGTCCAGGACGCCGGATGAAGTAGGTCTCGGTCCCACATGGCCTGTGACTGGTCGATGGCCATAGAAGCATAGCGGATACACACGAGAGCTCTGCGGGATTGTTCTTGGGTTACCGAGCCTCCGTCAGACATCCTCGCAAGGTAATGCAGGAACGGTCGGTACAAAACGATCCGTGCAAAGTAGAATGCCATTTCAAGTTCGTACCTCAAGCTTTGATGAATAAGCCCAGGATTCCAGAATTTCAAGAATGCAAGCCATTGTGGTAGTCACTTACCTGCAAAATTCGCTCGCGTCGCTGTCGGCTCGTTTGAGAAGATCAGAAGCACTCTTGCTCCATGCGGCGAATTCGTCCTCGACCTGCCTCAGTCGCGGAAGACTGATTGAGATGTTCCCAGCAGGCTTGGAGATGCCGTCCTGCGAGGTGGGCATGGGATAAAGCGTTCTGATGGCCTTGGTGACAATTCGCATGACCTCGAGGTGTTTCGCAGAGATGGCCAGTGAAATGGCCTCCCTGCCTGGAAAGCCCAGCGTCGACTCTTGGATGGCTTCTTCCAACGTCAAATCAATAACATGGTCGACCTGGCTGAGGTCGATAAATGTTGGCAAGCCGAGCACTGCGCTGAGATACATGTCAAGCTTGATCACTGTCCAAAATAACCTTCGCCTCGTATCCTGATCGTCCTTGGAGAAAGTCGTGTCACTTGTCGATCGATAATGTAGCCCCAGTCGTAGAGCAGAGGAACAGGCTAAAGCTAGATATGCATGGGCCGAAGCCAGTCTAGCGATTGAGACGAGGAAGAGCGTAATACAAAGCAAGACTTGCAATGATCGAATGCCTCGACAGTCGCAGATATCAAGTAGCCTTTTTGCGGTATGATAATGCTTAAAACTTCTCCCGAGTTAGACCAGGCCGTAAGAGAGCGAGAGGGTAATATTTACGTTTCAGCGATAGCCTTGCGGCAACCATGGTTCTGGTGGGAATTCTGACTGAACAGATAGCCCAGAGCCAGAACAATGTGGAACAGGGGCAAAAAAGCACGGTCAGATTCATCATATTCGATGGGGTTTTTAGAGTAAAGCTGGTCGACACTGTGGTTGAATGTGGGTTCATGCAAGATAGGAAAGACGGGATAGGTAGACCTGAATATGGTAATGAGCATTGCTGATACAGTGTCTCTGTGGGGTAGCTGGGCTGCAGTGACGTGGTCCCCGTCTTCTGAAACGGTATTTGGTAGGGGAGCGTCAAATAGTTGCGATATGACTGATTTCGTCGAGTTCAAATCGTCAGTCAGCTCGCTTCGTTGTGGACTGAAGAACTCTTCCGTTTTCTGTAAGAAAGCAAGGCCTGATGGGGCACCATAAAACCTTGATGCCCAGGGGTTGTCGAGTGCAACACGGCCGTGGCTATCCATCATGCTATCGAGCTTGGTGCCGTCGGCGTGCTCATCGCTTTGATCTTGGCTTTCGCCCACCAACGAATTGTCTAGCGTCTCCAGGGCTGCGCAAGCTTCCTCATGTGACATTGGCCTGTTTTCCATTTGAATCTTGGTCAGGAGCTTGCGGAACCTCCCAAGCTGCAACTCCAGCAGCCTTGATTTTTGGCGTGGATCTGTGCTCCGCCTCGGGTTAAGAGAATAAATGCATCCTGTCAATCTCAGCGCATCGTTCATTTTAGGGGAGGTTAACAGTTCCCAGGACTCGAAGTACATACGTCGGCTGAATTCATGGCAAGGTTCACATGGTTGAAGACCTGAACACCTGACTTTCCGCGCCCGACACTCGTCGCAAGCTCTTGCGGTGCGCCTGAAGACTCTTCGTTGACTGGGCTTAGACGATGCGGTTGAATCTTTAGGAGGATCACCCTGGAGATTTTCATAGTCGCCCATGCTGATACTTTTGGATTGACAAGCACTGCGAATACTTTTGGAAGGCTGAACTTGGCGTGATAGGAATGGGGGCAGAAACGAGCGAACGTGCTGCGCGAAGCTGTGGTTATGACGCCGATTCGGATGGGTTTGCCGGCTTGACAGAGGTCAAGATCGCCATCAAAAAGTCATGCAAAAATGACGACGCCCGCCTTTCTCTCCAGGTTGGAAGCTGGGGTGCCGATCCTGAGGTGGGGACCTGTAATAGCACCAAATCCAACGCCAACGGAGAATCTGCAGCGGTGCTTTGGAAACTGTGGCACTCCTGACAACGGCTGACGGACGCAGGGGCCGGCCTCAGCCTGGCAGGCACAGAGTGCTACGTATCGGGGGGGCTTACGATGGTTACTCTTCGAGAATGCGAGGAGGGGGTGTAGGGAGGCTTTGAGATGGAGGTTGGTTGAAGAATACCCTGAAAGGGCAGTGATCTTACTTGGCTGGGGACGCGGTTGGTGTGGCGACAGTAGTGCAGCAGTGACACGCCCCGCCTAATATTCCCAATAGAGTAATTAATGGCAGCATCCGGCTGTTTTCGACACCGGTAAGATCATTCAACATCGGGAGCAGATGCCACCACTAGGACGTGACTATTTTCCCGGGACCATCAACTGTAGGGCTCCGTTATTGGTGATACCAAGTCTGTCTGCGTATAGACAAGGTTATGCATATTGGTCGACGCCCACGTATGCTCCGCTGGGAGTACCCTCTCCATCATTTCCACAAATATCGGCACGTGTAACAGGTCCACCTCGTCGTACCGTGTGGGCCACACGGCACCCTCCCGTCCCAGATATCCTCAAGCGTGTTGCGCGTGGCAAACACTTTTGCCACCATTCCAAATGTTCCTGGCGAGCTGTGGATGCCATGAGGTTAAAAAGCAGCAGGGTGGTCTTGACGGCGGATCTGAAATTAGACGATATTAACCAAGATCGACGATATACTATGCGACATGTTGAGAGGTGGAGTTTTCAATCATTTATCCGACCACGTAATTTCACCGACACATTTTCAACCCGATTTTGGGGAGAGTAGGAAAGAGTGACAGCGTTTTCGTCGGCCACAGCCTCAGTTAAGATGTTCAATATTGTGATGAGTTCTCTTGAAGATACTTTGGTCTCTGGGTTGAAATTGCTCTAAAGTATGTGCCAAGAGATCAGGGCAATCTGTAAACAACACGTGGACTTTTGCCTGGAGTGGCTGCGACTTGTCATCTCGGAGGGACTAACAAACGACGCCACGACGCTATCACCGTTTGCAGGTTGGGTCTGCTGAAGATGGACGAGACGAGACAACGGAAGAGCAGGTTTACCGCATCTACGACGGTCAGTTTTCTACGGTATTCTCGATTCCCAGTCCGGCGATCAGCATATAAACTTTAAAGGTGCCGGCGTTGAATGGTGGCTTTTTGCGGCAACCAGATCTGCGTCAGGGTCGCGAGGATTTGAGAAGAGGTTCCGGATGCTATCATCGAGTGTGATGGCTGGAGCAGGCGATCGTTGGCGAGAGGCTGTAACCAAACACTCTTGCAATCACTTCGGGTTGCTGGAGGAAGAGCGTGCTCGCTTGGACGGACCTTCACACGGACATATCCTAGGTATCTACCTGGCGAGCTGGTTCGTCCTGGCTCCACAGTGTCTGTTTTGCCTGGGCAACCAGCCTGACTGCAGCATGACGTGGCCCGTTGAACAGCAGCACTTACTGTACCAGCTTTCATTCACAAAAGCCTATCAGTTGTGGTGATACTTCCAGCAAAACAGTGTCAGGGCGGAGAAAGTCTGCCAGGGCCAGCAAAACCTCTATATGCCTTCCAATTTCAACTCGGTCGCGATCGCATCCGCCCATGCGTCAACCTCATCCCAATCTCGATGGTCTCTAGACCGTCCACCGACACAGGTCGATAAAGACCTTATAGGCCCAGGGATTCTTGAAGCTGCATCCTTTCCGATGAACAGACGGTGACCTCTGACTTTCGGCATCTTCCTCGATATCGTACGTTCCATCAGCAGAGACTCTCGGCTCACAGCTTTATTTGTGGCCCACTTGGGACCCTTAACCGCAGGCGTCATGCCAACACTGAATGTCCAGGTGGGCTTCATTTGCAGCCCCATGGCTTCGACGTCAAGAAACTTTTGTGCATCAAAAAGCCACTTTGTACCGCGCATGGCACTACCCAGGATGATGGCGCTGTAGTTCTCGACGCTAAAAACGTGGTCGACCGGTCGACAGTGAACAGCAAAGCCATGGACATGCAGTCGTGAGGCTATGCGGTCTGCTATTTCCCCTGTTGAGCCGTAGGAGGTCGCATAGGTGATTAGGATAGGCATTTTGTAGACATGTGCGAACTTTCCGGTCGCCTTAGATTATAGCTTATTCCTCGGTTCCCTCTGATGTGTCCACGGTTCCCGAACGCGTGTCTTGCTGAAGTGCGCAGTGGCCGGGCGTGTTGATATACGAGGCAGGTATGGTGGGTATGTGGACGGAAGTGTTCATTTCCATGGCCTACTTACCTCGAACTCGTTTCAATTCCTTCGCACCCGATCTCACTCAGTCCCGACCACTCCCCAATAAAATGATGACCACATCACTAATTCCGGTAATCGAAGGTCTTGCGGTTCAAAAATACAGAGATGTCGGGCTCCTTGTTTGCAAGATGCAGAATCATTGGATCGGAATGAACGACGACCAAACAATGGCCAAGAACAGCCTGCTAACCACTCAAAGAACACCAACATACAGCCTAGGAGGTGATGTCCGGTTACACGACCCCTGCATATCCGCTTGTCCCGCGCATCCGTGCGAAAAAGCTCAGCAACCGTATCCGGACGTCATTATTGCTGTTGGCCTCCATCACCTGGGACCAAAAGGTTGACTTGGATAGACTGGAACAACGGCTAGAGCGGACCGGAGGCGGACCACACTGACGGGTGTCGCAGGGACCAATTGCAGTCGGGTTAAGTGAGGGCTGTAACGGGGCTGCGTCGTGTGGTTGCCTACCCAGGTAAGACTTACGAGCATTGCCTCGTGCTTGTAGATCTATGACTGCAATGAAGCTAGCTGGGATCGGATGCAGCGGGACACTGGGAATTCGGTCTAGGAAGATGGCAAAACTTGAAATTGCGTAGGGGTGTTTGAAAACCCAGATTATGGTCACGCCTCCGACTACCTCATACATCGTGTATAACAGGGCAGTAGCGCGCTATTAGTTCAAGTGCGATAGTCCGAAGAAAAGGCCGTCATATTCCCTGCCGTGTGTGCACCTACGCGCGGCATGCGAAAAGCAACCAGCATCTCGGATACGAGGCGACACGTCAGCCATGACCTGGGCTCAGATAGAGCCAAACCCAGCACATCTGACATATCTCTTCTCATTCTCTACACATGCCCGCTGGCTGGGTCATCTCTGCAAATATTGTGCACTTTGCGTTCAGAAAAACCCCCTTGGACAAGCGCATTTGATAGTCGGTGCCTGCTTGACTCCAACAGATCCGGTCTTGTCAGCCAGTATAGTTGCTGAATCAAGGGTTCTTCTCGCCGAATTCCCAAGACGCATCAGACATAAGCGGCTCTAAAAGGGACAGCCAAACACGCCCCTTAGTATACACTGCGTACTCCAGTAAGTAACTGGACGCGGATATTTTCTCCGAGCTTGTTCGCTGCCAAGGGAAAAAGGGCAGAACTGAGCACGAAGGTTTTAAAACACCCAATCTCCACGGGGGACGAGGATCGGTGCCCCCAAGACAGAGATCACCCACCCCGCGGGGGTGCCGAGACAGGGAACGACTTGATGCATTAATAAAAGAGGCCCCCATATTACCTTTCAGGGTGAGTGTCGACCCGTCACTCCTCTGCAACGTGCAAGGGCGCCATCAGTCATCGGTCGGTAGAGGTTCCCCCGAAGGACCGACCGGCCGGAGTCGTGCGGCGTTGGACGCCGACACTAACCACCACTATTCTTTCAACGTGCGAACCGAACGCTCGAGGAGAGCGAGGGATACATGCATGTGATGAACTTTTGAGCTTTCGTGGATTTGTATACCGTCGGAGTAGATAGCAGATGCAGAGAGGGGATCCTGGTCACTACAAACCAGTGGGTGGCTAGTAGGTGGGACTACTCCCACAAGTATACTGGTGAACCATCTCGGAAAGGGTGGAGGGGAGAAGTAGAACAGCGTAAACCACTCCGACAGCGTGACTGTACTCCTTTGGCTGATCCATGGCTCAGACGCCGTGGCTGTACATTCCGCAAGAGAACATGCTTTTTGATTTCCTTTCACTTTCACTTTTCGCCGCGCAATGGACGAACAGACACACAGTCTGGCGATAAGAAAAGAGGGTCAGTTGGGGGCAGAGTATGTATACATATGTATATCTTTCTTCATCTTCCACCTCTCTGTAATCACCACTCCCTTATCGAGCCATCCGGCCCATAAAACTCCTTACACTGCCAATGTCCCGTCTCCTGAGCAATCCTGCGCACGACCGCCTCGTCAATCTCGACGCCCAGGCCCGGGCCCTTCAGGGCATCCACGTATCCGTCCTTGATGGCAAAGACGGACGGGTCGACCAGGTAAGTGTTGAGGTCCTCCTCGCCGGCCTCGACGTTGTAGTGCATCCCCAAGGACATCTCCTGGATGACAAAGTTGGGCGTGGCAAGCGCGACCTGCATGCTGGCGGCCAAGGCGAGGGGACCCAGAGGGCAGTGCGGCGCAATGGCCACGTCGTAGGCCTCGGCCATGGACGCGATGCGGCGCACCTCGGAGATGCCGCCCGCGTGCGCAAGGTCCGGTTGGAGGATGTCGACGGTCGCGTCGGCCAGAAACCGCTTGACGTCCCACCGCGTGTACAGCCGCTCGCCGAACGCGATCGGGATCGTCGTGCTGTCGGACAGCTGCTTCAACGCCTCGGGATTCTCGACCAGCAGCGGCTCCTCGATGAACAAGGGGCGGTACGGCTCGAGTGCTTTTGCCAGCTGCTTGGCCATGGGCTTGTGCAGGCGGCCGTGGAAGTCCAGCCCAGCGTCGAGGCCCAGGTTCTTGACGATCTTGAGCCGTTCGATCGTCGCGTCCAGCACCGCAGGTGAATCAAGCCAGTCGACGGGACCCGTGGCGTTCATCTTGATACACCTCAAACCCTGGGCGATGCGGGCTTTGGCCGCACCCTCAATGTCCTGGAAGCTGTCGCCGCCGATCCACGCGTACACTTGGACCTTGTTGCGCACCTTGCCGCCCAGGAGCTGGTAGACCGGGACGTTCAGTCTCCGTCCTAGAGCCACAGTTAGAGAGGACCAGGACTCAACGCTACCCTGCCTTCATCAATCTTGTCAGACTTCCCCGGGGGCCTATTCTCACCTTTCAGATCCCACAGAGCAATATCGATGCCGGATAGCGCAGACATGAAAACGGGGCCTCCCCGGTAAAACCCCAGCCGCCACACCGTCTGCCAGATGTGTTCGATGTCACTACCGAGTACAACCCTTTCAGCGACCTTCTTCATCCACGGAAAGCACCCTCAGAATGCCTGCAGGGGGGGGGGGGGCAAAAATCGTACATCTTACTTACTCTGCCTCATACCCGACAATCCGCTCGACAATCTCGTCCAGCGCCCCCTCGACGGCCCGGGTATGGCCCTCAAGCGTGGCCTCCCCCCACCCACAAAGCCCCTGGTCGTCGCAGATCTTGACAAATAGCCACCGGGGCTTGACGCGGAAATACTCGACGCTCTTGATTTTGGCTAGGGGCATGTCGGGCACTTTTGGGTACTGCTTGCCGTTGGTGGTACCCTGGAGGGACCTCAGCTGACTAGACGCCATCTTCGAGGTGGGTGGTGCTTGGCTTGAATAACGACAACGACTGCGACAACCACGACAGAAGAGGCTTCAGGGAGAGAGCCTTGTGATCGGTAGTCGGATTGGAATATCCAGAGAAAAGGTATGTACTTTGTCGTATTTTTAGTCAGGCTATTCAAGGTAAAACTCAGCTACTCGGCGATACTTCGCCCGGGAGCGAGGGCGAACAAACACCCGCCTCCTAGCCTAGTGGGCGGGATTGGTGCAGGATTTCCCCCTCCCCCACAGGCAGACAATGGCAGTGTGTGCGTGGGGTTTGTGTGTCTGGGTATAATATGTAGTGAATGGGCGACTCGTAAGATAGGAGCCAGACATCCACTCCCGCAAGCTCGAGTCGCTTTCTCACAGATCCAGGTCAGATTGCAGGGCAGCCTCTATCCAATCTCGCAGGAATGCGAGGGGAGGCCAAGACACATTAATCGGCTGGACGCTGGCTCATGGAACAGTACACGGTACTCTGTACAAAAGGCAAAAATGGAAGCAAACATCTACCTGAACGCTTCATCCCTACCCACCTCTCTCTCCATGCGCATCATGGACGACTCGCACCACGAAGCAGGACAATAGCGTTGCGAAGAAGATCGGCCGCCTCGTGCAACAATTCCCATCTCGAATCGCGAAAGGCCGTCTCCAAGATCGCCAACACACCCACGACATTGTTCCGACCATCCTTGATCGACTCGAGCTGTTGCGGTGATCTTACCGCTCCGACCGTCTGCAGGAAAGCGTGCGCGTCCTTGACCACAGCTTCCACCTGGAACTCGCTGCCATCATGCGCCATATTCAGCAACGTGGACTGGTTGGAACCGTGGGACCGGGCCGAAGCAGCGCCCGGCGAGGAGTCGGGTTGCAAAAGACTGGGAAAGGGCCGCAGCACTCCATCGAGAGCAAACCCGTATGACCAGACCACGAGGGCGGCAAAGTACAGGATCCACGGTCTCATCATCAGATAGTCGTCGCGGGCGTTGTACAGCTTTCTCGAACCCCCTTTGCCCGGCAGAATCACCGACCTGAGCAGCTGCAAAGCATGGTAGACGGCAACCCTTGCACTCGGGCCCTTCGCCCAGTCGAAGAGCTTGCATTTGACCCTCTCGTAATCAGCATTGGTCACCACCCTGCCGAAGAGTCGCTTGATGCCCGCAAATATCTGGCAGTCCATGACGTCCGTGTGCATGGCCATATGACTCAGGTGGTGGAGTATCTCCGCCGTCTGTGCCATGTCATCTTGACCCGACACACTGTCATTCTTTTGCCAAGGGAGTGTGGCCCTCCGCATGTGTTCCAGGCTCTCATCGAAGTCTTTCTTCCAGAAGTCAAAAGCCTTCGTCAGCGGCGTCCTCCAGCCGTCTGGCACGCCCATGGTCTGAGATACCCCGAGGCTGGACACCTGGAGATCGCGTTGGTTCATGTGCCACGAAACAGACAGGAGACCCGCCATAAGGATCATCCTGCCAAAGTTGTTCGTCCGAACTTTCCGGCCCGTCAGAGTCTTTTTCAACCCGTCCAAAAACGTGGTAGGTTTGATCCCGTTGGCGTGCAGACTGGCTTCAACTCGTCCAACTTCGGCGGCGGAAGTGGCCGACCACAGGGCATCATCGCACGGGAGAGGGAGTCGTATTTCATGGACCACCATCATCGCTGCGTGACCGAACATGGCCGCGTGAAGTGCGTCCAGGTAAAAGGCGGCGTACGCTGCACGACGAGTGGCTTCTGCTGTGATCCAGCGACCCCACCATTCTTCTGGGGAAGAAGGCACCCGAGAGGAATCCTGGTTCGCCGTCTCGATCAGAGCCGTTCCTCGTCGCATTAGGTTTATGGTGGTGGCATAATGAATGTGGGCTCGCTCATGCAGCATTCTCGTCGCGTTCATTTTCTCGTACACCTCCAGCAACAAGAGCGTTTGAAAAATCCACAACTTTGCCGGAGGATGGAAATCACTATGCATAAAAACTTGCCAGCGCAAATGCCAAGCGATAAAGGTGGCGAACCGAGCGGCAGCGTCCGTCACTGCTCGTCCATGGGCTTTGTTGAGAAACGCGGCTCCGATAGCCATTACCGCGAGGAGGAGATATTCGTGGGTGTCGTCGGCGGAAAACGTGGGCTGATGTAGGATGGGCATTTGGGCGTGGAAATGATACCAGTAAGAGCCGATGTAGTGTTGCATAGATCGGATGCTGAGAACATGCTCTTCCGCGTCCGGGTTGCCTTGGAAGATCTCTTCCCTGAGCTGTCGGACCAACGGATTGTCACCTTCATGGAAGCGCTCCATCAAGCTGATCAAGGACGCGCGCTTCGCATGTGAAAGAATATTGCTATCAACCGAGGACTCGGGTACCTTGCTCGTTGCTTCCACTGGCCGCTGTTGACTGAGACCAGGGTAGGAATTGTCCAGGGCAGGGTCGGCAAAGTAGTTGGAATACATCGCACTGCCAAATATCTCGGCACCGTTGGCGAACCCAATGCCCCCTTGCGCACCCATTGAGAACGGAGCAGTATGGAAGCCGCCCGCATCTTCAAAGAGCCAAGCGGCAAACTCATCTCGGACGGAAACGGGTGAGTCATTAAACGTCTGATCCCCTAAAGTAGGCATGTTATATGTGGCCGAAGACCGGTCCGACATCTGTGGATCAGTTGTGGTGGGAATTCTAGAGCTGCTTGAATGTGTCCGCGTCTTGCTCAAGATAGAGGGATCGAGGTTATCGAACACGTTGTCAGGCATACCCTGCGGTCCGCGGGCAGTCAGGGACGAATCCGAGGACAGATCCGTTTGAGAAAAGGTCCTGGACTGTACGGGATGATGAAGGATAGCGTTGAGATCATGCCGCAGCGGCGCGGCCGAGTGGAAGGCTTGTGAGGTCGCCTGGTCGCTCGTCCCGTTGGTTTCGGGAGCGTTCTGTTGAATGATGGCTTGCAGATCCGTCGGCTTCAGTGCTGGCTCGCCAGAGAAGGATGACGGCTTCTGGGGCGGCGATTGGAGGTTCTCTGGGCCCGGCTTCGGGGTCGCAAAGATATTCAAAGGAGGAGAAGTCGGGCTCATCGCTGGCTCTTCACTGAACGAGGAGCGCGGAGACAGAGGCTCTCGGTGAGGGTCATGAGCTTTTGGCATCGGCCCCCTCACCTCGTGCCTTTCGCGGTGGCGAATGCAGAGGTCCTGGCGTACAAAAGTCCGATGACATCCGGGATAGTCGCATTTGTAGATCTCTTTCGGGTTATCTAGGCTCAAGTTAGCAGACGGGGGGATCTCAACAATCAGAACCAAGACGCGAAGAAATCGTACGGTTGAGTTGATGGCGATAAAGGTGCTCTGCCCGTGAATAATCTCGATCACAGCCAGCGTATGTACACGCGAACCGGCGTTTACCCTCGGTCTTGCTTGAGCTCGAGCGCCGTCTATGATCAGACGAGGCAGGGGCATCGGTCACAGGCTGGTCGTTGATGCTGGGAGCGATGGTAGGGTAATCAAGGCGCGGTCGCTTATTTTCGGACATGTTGTCTATGATTGCGTGCCCAGGTCCAAGATTGCGCGGATCGTCGCTGGTAGAGGTCCGAGCGCGACAGGAGTAGCGGGTGTGCACGATGCGTCGTCTGCTGAATCGCGGCGGATCATCAATCTTGCGCGACCATCAAATCAATGTCATTGCCGCACCAGTTGCGGCATCTTCTTGATCTCAAGTCGGCGCTGAACTCGACGACAAGAGCCCGAGGCGCAGATAGACGAGGTGATGATATGGACGAAATTGATGAGTTGCGACTGGTTTGAAAGGAAGGGACCAATCCAGAAGGAAAGGTTTGCTCGGTTGAGATTAATTTTTCCCTCCTCGTGGTTCTCCAAAGAAACTTGGGGTGACAAGCTCCAAAGGAAGCCGCCCGAAGCATGATCTTTGGTTGGGCTAGGCCCCCGCCCTTGCCCCAGTGCTGGTTAACTGGTGTTTGGGGTGCCCAGGTTGGGTTCTAGAGGGGGCGGCAAGGGCGGTTATACCTAATTGATTCTTGCGGCGGCCTTCCCCGCAAGTGGCTACCTGGCTAGTTGGTCCCCTATCGAGTCCTCGCACCCAACCTCGCTGGTTCGCACCGAGTACGAAGTACACGGCCGGCAGTCACCCTCGGCACAAATCTTCCGAGGGTGGGGCTTCTGGGCTGGTGGGCTGATGGGCTGATGGCCCATGGGAGACAATGTGGACATCGTATATGAAGGACTTTCTCTCTCGCAGCGCGGCCTTCTTTTCAACAATCGCAGAAGGCCAGCCTGTCGAAGATGTGTCTGGATAAATAGCAATGGAAATTGGTGCAGAGTACCTCCTTGGTTACTATCATGGTCGCAAGCGGCGCCATGGGTAGCATCATTCAGCTTCCTCACCAGGTATCCTGTGGCTGAGGCAGACCACTGGCCCCATCCCTCGATCGCCATCCTCCTCCCTCACTTCTTCAAGTACAAGGTCTGCGAGTTGCAGTACGACTTCAACCCACCGACACCGAACTCGGTCCCAATGCCACTCTCCTTGTGCCCTCCAAAAGGCGCTCTCGCATCAAGCTCGAAATGAGTGTTCACCCAGACGTTGCCAGCTTCAAGCTCCTTGGCAATGGTCGAAGCTCGTTCGAGGTTGCCCGACCAAACGGAAGCTCCAAGACCGTAATTGGTGTTATTGGCCTTTTCGATGGCTTCTTCGTCGGTGCCGAAGCTCAAGAGAGGTACGATGGGCCCTGTTTCCACCAATCGTCAGCCTCGGGTTGGGTCATCCCACAACGCGGCCGTGACTTACCGAACGGTTCTTCAACGACCAGCCTTGAGTTCTCCTTCGGACGGTCAATGATTGTCGGTGTGATGAAATAGCCTGGCCCATCAGGGTTTTTGCCTCCGACAACAACGTTGTACTGTTCCTTTTCGATATCATTGAAGAAGCCCTTGACCCGTTCATACTGCATAGAGTTCTGAATAGGGCCGAGGAAAACATCCTTCTCGAACCCTTCGCCGAGTTTCAAGGTCTTGGTATACTCGACCATCTTGTCACGGAACTGCTCGAAGATCTTCTCGTGAACAAAGATGCGTTTGAGCGCCAAGCAGATCTTGTTGGAGTCAGCCACATGGCTCCTCGTCATGGAGTGGGAGATAAAAGTTATCTTACCTGGCCAGAGTTCAAGAAAGCGAGGGTTGCGATCTAAAATATATTAGTCATTGCCCAACTCCTCGAGAAGGTCGAGAACTCACCTTGGGAGCAACCTCGTCAACATTAACGTCATCACAAACGATGGCAGGATCGTTGCCGCCACTATTCAAGTGATCAGCTTGGGTCACAAACACAGAAATCGAGTACGATCACGTACAGCTCCAGTGTAACGCGCTTGAGTGTTTTGCTTGCTGACTCCATGACTTTCTTACCAGTGGCGCTGGAGCCTGTGAAGCTGATCTTTGCAGGCCCGGGATGAGAAGTCAACCACGGACCAAGGTTGTCGTCTCCGCTGACGGCTTGGACGACACCTGGTGGGAAGAATCTCTGCGCCAATTCCACTACCTTCAATCCGCCATATGGAGTGAATGGGGACGGCTTGATGATAATGGGGTTACCTGTGACGACGCACGGGGTAATTTTGGAGCAGCATAGCAAGACAGGGTAGTTCCACGGAACAATGCCCACAGTCACACCGAGCGGAGTGTATCGGACAACGATCTTCCGGTCGGCCTCGTCGACGATTTCTTCAGTGGGGAGCTCGAGGTTTGCCATGGTGCGGATGATCTGGAGAGTGAAGTCCATCTCAAAATAGGCAAAATGAAGCTGTGAGATTGGAAAACATGTCAGCGGTCAATGCTGTGGTAACGGGTTGTGCGCATGAGTTCATCCATTCTCGACTTACTGGCTTCCCTTGCTCCTGCGTCAACATCTTCGCAAACCCGTCCTTCTCTTTCTCCATGGCGTCTGCAAAGGCAAGCATGGCCTTCTGCCTCTCCGCGTAGGGTGTTTTGGCCCATGTCTTGAACGCCTTCTTGCCCGCCGCTACGGCCTTGTCCACGTCCTCGGGTGTCGAAACGGGCACCTCAGGGTTCGGTTTTCCGGTGGCCGGGTTGATTCCGTGGCGAGTCTTTTCGGTCGACGCGAGCTTGCCGTCAATCACATTGGAGAAGGTGGTGAAGTCGAGGCCGCCCGAAGAGGACGTGGCGTCGGTGGCGTTTTCTGTTGCGTGAGGAGCCATGGTGCTAAGTAGCTATGATAGATATCTGGAAGGACCTCAGGCTGCGAGTGGTGAGAAGATTGTGGGATGTTTAGGGGAAGAGTGGTGACACAGGGTGAAGTCAGGGTCACAAAGGCAGGCTGAGAAGCCAGAAAGTGAGGAAAGTGCCAGTACGTTCCGAGTCACAGCACACTGGCAGTCCTACCACGCCTTTATAGGTCTCTCTTCTCCTCAGCTTTCCTCGCTCAGCCGCACCGTCAACACGAAATTCTAGACTTGTCTCACACAAGTGCTCGTGTTGGCCCGCGGGGTAACCTGTTCCTTGTCGTCCAATGCCGCCCACAGAACTATCAGCTCGCTCGGATCACCTGGGAGAAATTGACCATCAAGTCACCAATGACTTCAGGTCTGTCTCCTGGCATCGTGTCCTGGCACCACTGGCAGGCATTCCAGTGAAGGATGGCGGGGTAGAACACGAATGAGGCGCGGCAGCCTTCGCGACTGATACGAATATGACCTAGAGCCCAGACCATCGACAACGAGAATTAAGCTTTAGAGTGCTTTTCAATTGACAGGCTGGCACAGCTGTTTCGTGGATGTCAAGGAAGCACCAGCAGATGATATTGGCTTCGCAGTTCATCCATCACCAGACTAACACCGACGCGAACCATCGCGGGGCTGCGATACAGGGATTGGAAGCTCTGCCACCGATGGACCAAGAAAATGTTACGAAGGTGGAGCTGAGATGGGCTGGGGGTGAGATAGGCACTGATTGGGTTTGTAGGGCTCGTGGGCTCGCTTCTCCATGCTCCCCCCTGTATCCAGGATTCCACAGTCACACATCATGATACGTGAGTGGGCACAAAGCAAGTTCCGAAGTCAGGGAATTTAAATCCGCAACTAACTAGCTACCTAGGTAGATACTCGTACATGTGCCTCACGTGAGACTGGTCTGGGCTGAGATCCGCCAGCTATCGAAACTTCCATCCTGCCCACCACAGGGTATGAAGTGTCTCAAAAGGCAGCTTCAAAGCCTTGACATATGTTTTTTTATTTCAGTTTGCCCGCATGTCTTCCCAGATAGCACTACCTCAGATTTTGCCATTCACCGAGAAACGTACCATGCCCTCCAGGAGATAGTTCGGCAGCAAACACGCCAGCAAAGTTCCAGCTCTTTAAATCCCAAATCCTGCCCCTGCTTGCAGGGTAGGCAAAGGATCCATAGTTTACACCAGCTTGCGCACATATTCTACAGGACCGTCATAGACATGCCTGGCCTGGATGTAATAGTGGAGAACTGCGAAAATCATCACGCACCCGTAGATCAAGCTGGCCCAATTCATCTGAGAAACCGTTGGGTCTGGGTTACCGGGGAAAAATGCGAAGACGAAGGCGAAGACCAGGAAGACGAGACTGAATCCGTTCAAGAACAGACCAACTGGTCTGCTGAAGGTGAATTTCGCTGGGAGGAGAGGCTGATACGTCAACCGCCTCCAGAACAGGCAGCCGATGGAGACGATGTATGACGACAAGATGGCGACCAGGGACAGCGAGGTAATGTTGTTGAGCGCAATCGTGGAGCCGATGTTGATCAGGGAAAGCAGACACGAAACCACGAAAGATACCACGATACTGTTCATGGGGACGTCCCAGCCAGGTCGCACCTATACAACACAATTAGCTTCAGCACATCCAGCAAACTTGTGGAAAAGAAGGGAAGCGCATACGTATGCAAACCACGAAGCACCCGGAATGCCCTGATCACGGGCAAAGGACCAGAGCTGTCTCGAGGCAGTCGCTGTAATCGACAAGTTGCAGAAAATGGCCATGAAGATGACCAGCGCCGAGAGAACTGATGCGCCAGCATAAGACTGCGTGGCATTGTAAAAGACAGCAATGTACGGCTGACCGGTGGGCGAGTCGATCACATCGTCAAGGTTTCCCAGAGTGAAGCAGAAGGTGATCAGGATGATCCAACCCATAGAACCGTTTAGGATAGTGGTCCAGATCATGCTTTGAGGGAGCACTTTCGATGCGTCGCGGAGTTCCTCGGACATATGGACTGCGCCGTCTGCGCCGAGCAACGGGATCATCACCGCGAGGATGCCAACTATTGCTGATAGCCCATCGCTGCTCCAATCGCCGTAATTGTTGAAAGTGGTAAAGACATCGCTTGCATTTCCGATTGGGCCCAGGACCCAGAGGGTGATCAGGACGCCAAAGAAGCCAAACACGTGTACGATCAGCACGATGCCTTCCACCAACGGCAATTTTTTGACGAGGAAGGTGTTGAAGAAGACGGAGAATGAGGCCACAGCGAACGTCAACAACGTGCCATGGTATCTCTCAGGTGTGTAATCCGGATAATTCAAGATCACAAGGCCTTGGATTTGAGTTCCGGCGAGGAATGCTATATTCCCGATTAGCGCATCTGCCACCAAAGTGATGATTTGGGGATTGCCGGGAAGTTCCTCTCACCTGTATTAGCCGCACCTGTCTGCCAGCCGAGCACGCAGAGCCAGCCTGAGAGCTTGTAAGAAAGGGTCGAATATGAGGCTTTGAGTTCCCTCACCAACAATAAAACTCATGAACTTTTGGTATGTCCTTGGCGCAAATTCGCTCACCCAGTGATATTGACCACCAGATGTCGGAGCCCTAAGCAGAGTATGAGCAAAGGTATGGTATTCCCTTGGACAAGATTGTCATACATGGATCCCATTTCGGCCATTGAAGTGTTGACAGCCAGGAAGCCAATCCAGGCTACCAAGTACAGCCAGATCATCCCGGCGGTGCCGCCGTTGATCAAGCCGATGATAGATGTGCTGTTCAAGAGTCAGTGAGATCCATTGACACTGAGAGGGCCTCTCGAGCCTGTCACTGACCCTAACATCGTTTCCCAGCTGGCCATGAGAATCATGGAGAAGCCGAAAATGGAGACAAATCGGAAATTTCGCTAGGCATGTCAATCATGGCAACATATGCTGGGGGACACTGAAGGTCTCTTACTCGTAGCTCTTGGTGTTTGCCCATGCGAAACATATCCCGTTGGTCATCGTTGGTCCCTTTCTTTTCAGGCGACAAATCCGCATTGGTTGACTCCAGGTCAACTTGGGATGTGACCACCCCAGTCTCCTTGTGATCTGCCATGGTCGCAAAAACAACAACTCTCAGGGAGGGACGAAGACGGGGAGCTTGTGTAAAATAAGGAATAAAGCACTGTTAGAATAGCACGTCGTCAATGAACAGCATAGCAGCTGGCAAGTCAGTTGGTATTCGAAGCTGGAGAGATGAAAGAAAGAAGATCGCAGAGGAGTCGATAGAAGTGGAGGGGGAAGTGCTTGCCATGTGTCAAGCAAGGAGCATGGCCCATGTGGTTGTAAGTGTAGATCTTGACCATCTTGGGACATGACAGAGGCAGGAGTACTCACTCTTGTCAGTTCGCGTGCCAGTGTGCTTATGCATGTCCCAACGCAAGCTAGACGGCATCAAGACGAAAGTGGCTTATCGGGTCATGCAGATTTCGCACCTGCGAAGGGTCCAAGACCAATTGCTAGCAAAGGGACATTGTTTGATAGGGGGGTTCGCAGTTAACCCATGTTTCGGAATCAATTGTGTCTTGTCTTCTCGGGTATTTTCTCGACGCCGTCCAAGGGACAAGGCACAGACCACACCAGGAGGAAAGAAACCGGCTGCTGCGGTCGCGAGTTTAAGCAAGCCACAGGGCGACCAAAGTCAATAACCTTACAGTCGTTCATGTCAGAGGTGGATAAGAGGACGCTTGTGGAGGTGGCTGCGGATATGCAACGAGCAGGATAGTGCGGCCCCATAGCAGGAGAAGGTCTTACAGGAGGTGAGAAAGTACTCTGTATGTAGCGAGGGACAGCCACACATGGTCCCACATGAGGCAGGACCTGGAAATGTCAGACACAAGGCACACCATCTGCTCGCTGACGTACTGGAAGAGACCATCTAAGACTGTCGGGACTAGGGGGAACCAATTGGATAGGAAGAGGTGCAAATTTGTTCGGCCAAGAGGGTTGTGAGATGGTGCAGCTTGTTGCTGGACGGCAATCGAGCCATGTAAGCGTAGTCGAGGTTGCAAGCGAGAAGTCGGCAATGTCGCCATCCACATCCTCGTGTGCTGATCGATTGCTGGAGCTATCATTTCAAGTTCCACGGTTTCTTGGTCACATCGCGCAAGGACGGTGCCAAATGGAGACGGATTCAATTTCCAGCCTGCAATCAGTCACCGGAGCACCTTGAGGAGGCTGGGAGCAGCGAACTTGGATGGGGTCACCCAGACGCTTGACAGATGATGGTGAGTTGTCCTTGACGTGAAGGTAACAGAGAGGCATCGATCGGCGGGGGGATGCTTTTTTCCCATGCTTCCCGTCAATGGCCAACCTCTAGGAAAAGTGTCCACATCGCTGCGTGGGCAAGAAGCTGCATGGGCAAGAGATGGCGATCAGAGTTGCGGGTGTGGATCTGGCTGGATCATGGCTGGATCATGGCTTTTGCCAAGTGCGGCAGCACCAGCGGGTCACCGTGTCAGTCACCCAGTGGTATCTTTTTCTACCTACGGGCAGACGCTACCGACAGCGTGACACCAAGAAACCTCTGACTCCAGTCCACTACCTGCAAGCACGGAGAATATTTGGGGATGTGATCAACACGCTTGTTTGCGGCTGCTTGCCGTCCACCTACCTAGCAAGCTAGGTACTCACTGCTTCCGAAGTTTACTTTGCATCTACTTTAGCAACCTTCATTGACAGCTCCAACTCTCGGCAGACCCTGCACTAGGCCAGATCCCTCGTTCTCTCCGTGTCTCTAGACTCATTCAGGGGCTGTTGACCTCTGTTGAGGGGTTCAGGCAAGCAATGGCCCATGTCGCCGATACTGAATACGAGGTAATAGCAAGTCATACCCCTCTCTGCTAGTCAGCCCTAGGTAGTCCAGTCCGGTAAGCGAACAAAGAAAAGATGGACCAATTTCACGTCCAAGACTCTGCGTAAGTGGCGCCAGCTGCTATTCGTACTCAAGTTGATTGTGCTGAAATAACCAACAAGACAGGTTGCTCGTCGCCGAACTCTGCCCTGGCACCACGAAACTTCGGAATAAAAGAGAACGAACCAGAGAGGACTTGGATATGCAGAGTTTTTACCTAAAGTTCGGAACGAGGAGAACACGAACCGCATCGGAGCTCTCTACGATAACCCGAATACCTCCTCCGCAGTAGGACACCTGGGGAAGCGTCTCGCCAGGGTATCCCTCCCCCTCTTCCTCCCGGATACTCAACACCCTTGCCTTGGGCTGCTTAAGTGGGCCATCCAGAAGCGAGAGGCTAGCTGCTTCGGCTGTGGTGCAATATCTTTGTTCTGATGCGTGTGGAAGCCATCCACTCGAACTACCTCGTCCCTGCGCCGGCAGACATCACCACGACCACCTATTTGCTACCAAACAAAATCAAAAGTCTCCCAATGTCGAGCACACGTCCATCACACCTGGTCTCCCGTAGGCCTCAAAAGGACAATAGAAGAAGAACGTGCACGGATACTCTGAACCAATACCTGGCACCACCCCTCCATTGTACCATTGGCCGGGCTTTGTTTCGTGTGATTGCCTCTCAAACTTCCCCCGTGGGCATCAGAAGCTGCATCCTTCCAAGAAATGATCAGCGTATCAATCAGTGTCAGTGCTGCTGCCATGTGCGCCACCTGTCTCCTGGATGCTTCCCTGCTTTGAGGGTGCCTGGCAGCTCTTTGCTTATCGCGCTTACTCCGGTCATGCTTGCCACCCAAAACCCCATTACTGTTTCCCATGTTCCTGGACTTATCATACTTTTGAGAGCACAGTTTGATCCGTACATTTCAGGTCCTCTCCGAAATACTTTGTGGCGGGCGTGTCGAAAACCACCGAAGCTGAACTCCCGGCATGGTCAACAGGGATGGCCGTGGATCGCTCATGGCACACTCGAACTCCCCTCAAAGCATGATCATCTGAAGTTAATACTGTTGCAAATCCTACCTCGATCCCTAATTAATATTCCATGACACATCACCTTTACGTCCTCCAATGTCCTCTGTCCTATCCTTCAATCATTTGCGCTATGGTGAAGGAAAGCACGTAGTCCAGCCTTGTCGTTCTAGGTTGACCATTGCCCGTGTTCTATTCCTCAAAACAACACTTTCCTCACGGTGCAATCCTCCTCTTCATTCTTGACAGTGTCATAGCTCGTCGACTAAGAAAAAAGGGGGATATCATGGGAAGTCATCGCTTCTCCCCAATTACGCCCGACGACCACGCTGGGTCGGTATGGATTGCAACTCTGCTATGTCTCATCTATTCGGTCGTCACATTGGCGTTGAGGGGTCATCTAAGGTGGAAGATGTATGGGTTGGATGATTATCTTGCCCTGACCGCAACCGTGAGGAGACATCCTGGATGGTATGAGAAGCGGCGGACTGACTGGCGATGCAGGCAATTCAAGTGGGACAGGTGGTGGCGGTGATTGTTGGACTGCATCATGGGTTGGGAAAGACACAAGAGCTTCTGCGTCAGGATGAGCTTGCAAAAGCCAGCCGAGTATGCGCCCGTCGTTTTCCAATTCTCTGACTACTCTGTTACTGATGCATGCAGGCAACTTTTGCTGCCCAAATCCTGTTCATCATGTCCGCCACTATAACGAAAGCCTCCACACTGTGTTTGATGATGAGGCTTTTCAACTTGGTCGGCCCACGAACAGCAAAAGATTTGCGGTCCAAAGTTCTATACTGGATCAGCCTTTCTGTCTTGTGCGGAATGGGCCTCTGGGGTATCTTGTCTATTGTCGCCGTGTCGGTCAATTGCTCCGTTCCTGGCTTTATCCAAGGAGACCGTGCGCAATGCGGTGATCAGGTGGGTGAATTGGACCCAAGTGCTATGTTCAACACGTACTAATGGTTCTCCAGTTCCTTCGCTGGCAGTTAATTACCGCCTTTGACGTGGCGACAGAATGCATTTTGGTTTTGATCACGGTCTTCGTTGTTTGGCCTGTACACCTGGCTCTGTCAATGAAATTTCAGGTTGTGCTTGCCTTTGCATTCCGGCTACCGTGAGTCTCTCTCTACCCGGCTCGAATCAGGGTGCAGCCATGCTGACACCCTCACACAGTGTGGCGATGCTTTCGATCCTCCACCTCCATTATGTCGCCGTCTATACCGGCTCGGACAATCCGGGCATCGCGATTGTGTCCGTCATCGTGATCCAAGAGGTGCAGCTGTGCTGGTCGCTCATTTCGGCCACCATCCCCAATCTCAAGTCGTTCGTTCGCAGCTTCAGCAGCGGATTCGGCATCCAACTCGACCCTTCCGTCACGCAGGCATACGGCTCTGGAAGGAGCTCAGGCCGCGGTTCTGGGCGTGGATCCGGACGGCTGGGGCGACTCATGAATGCTTTCGAGCTGAGCTCTGTCCTCCCGGGCAATAATGGCACAGCGAAGTCCAAGTCTGCGAGAAGGTCCTACCACGACGCCGAGCAATATCCGCCAATTCCCGAGCAGGATCCCCGTGTCTGCAAGCCTACTATGATGAGAGAGAACGATTCAATCCATAGTGGGGGCAGTCAAGATCACATCATCCGCAAGGACGTTCAATGGAATATTCAGTACGAAGCAGACCAAGGGAGAGCTTGAGGCCGTCCTTCCCCCGGCACGGGTACAATTAAGTACGATACAACTGTCAAATGGGTGTTGGGCACGTTTACTACAGGTAGAATTCAGACGGCTCCTCGTGGGAGGCGGGCGCAGGAGGGTATCCTACGGGCTTTCAAAAGGGAGGGATTCTGGGTTCAAAGGTGGCGGGAAACACGAGTATACGGCAAAGGGGGAAATCACATGGTCCATAGGTAACTACGAAGGATTTGTTATATCACTACAACTCTGGGGAAGTTGGGCAGGAAGGGAGAGGTGGTATGTAACGAGTACTACTTCGAATACGCCCACACTATCCACCCTTTGGTCCTGGACGGTTCGTAGTCGGCTGGAGGCAAGCCAGGCACCTGTGGGTTCCCAGCAAGGGATTTTGGGTTTCTCTGCCATTGATTCTTCCCGTACGAACATGTGTGGAACGAGTACCTGGTTTGTCTTTTTGTGCCAACATCCCCTTTCTCTTCCCTTTTCCAGGCGTTCGGTAGTCTCAAAAAGGACAAGGAACGAGGCAATGAAGCAGATCCGAACTTCACCGAAGTGGCGCAGGCGCCCACGGGCACTACGAGTAGTTAGAAGCCTACCTGGTACCTAGGTAGATGTGCCGCTCCACCAGGAACAGGAACTTGCTTCTGGCGTGCGTTTCCCGCGGCAGCTGGTTACCCGTAGCTAGAGATAGTTTCGGGGACCGGAAGCGGCATTGCGAAACTTGTGCCGGCGTGGAATACCTCCTCAAAGGTACCTAGGTAGCTAGGCACGCTCAAACTCCCCTCTTTCTGGTCCTCGTACCTTTCTGCAAGTGGTGCTGCCGGGAAGTTCGTCTCCAGTGTCCCTTTTGTCGCCAAGGCATCCTCAGACACGCAACCTCTCTGAACTCACCGACCGTTCGCCGTGGCATTGTTGAGCTCTTCTCTCGGTTGTCGTTGTATGTCTTGCCCTTGTTGTGGAGCAGCATCTCCACTCAGGCAACCGCTGCAGGAGCCATCGGCCCATCGCCTAGTCAGGCAAAAGGATTCGCCAAAAAGCCACTACCCTGGCTAATCTAGTGGGCAAATGGTGCCTATCATGGGTTGTTTGTCGCACCATCGGTCCATCACCGGAACCCAGCGCAACTGAACCAGCAAGCCAGGTACATACCTGCTGTAACTCGGACCCCATGAACCACAAGACCACGAGACCACGATACCTTGCCCAGCGGGAAACATCCCCAACGTATCATTTCTAGCTGTTCGCCCACTCAGCACGTAAGGCTTAGTTCAGGAGCCTGACAGGAGCCTGACATATATCGAAGGTTGGTTCCCAGCCTCATCGGAAGTCGTCGATCACGACGAGGTTTGGCTTCAAACCGACCGGTTCCGCCCAAATCGACTCAATCTCACTGTCTCAATCCCGCCCTCCCACACTGAACGCGGGAGGTCTCATCTGAGTGCTGGGCGGAGTCTTTCCGGCCAAACAACGCAGCTAATTGTTGTAGTGGTCACACCGACGTAACTTCTTGAACACCTCAATCTTCCTTGTCCAGCAGTCCCTGATCGTGCTTACATTTGCACGTTCGCTCGGAACCGCTCCAAAAATTGCAAGGCATAGTCGAAGGATTCGAGTACGGCCCAATCAAAACGATATCTGTTGGGATTCGCATATCACCCCTCGGTCGTTTGTGGTGCAATATCTCCACCGTCAGCAGCATCCATAGCCCAGACCACTCCAGCCGAACAGTGCTCAATCGTGGAGAGCTTCCAGTACCCAAACTGTGCACGCGAGTTGTGGGGAGCTCGACTCAGCAGCCACATGGGACCGTTGTCAGCAGTACGGTCAACCCAGTAGCTGTACCCACCCACAAGAAAACGGTCACCATGGCTCCCCTTACACGCCCGTTGTCTCCGTCGTCATTCCTGGCTCAAGGTGGCTTCGATCTTCGAAGGGCACGTTTTTCGGACCTCTCCGCCGCGGCACGTGTGTGTTCCCTTGCTTTCGACGACGACGTCCTCTTTGGCCGCCTAATCCATCCTTATCGGAAGTCGTATCCTGGCGATGTCGACAAGTATTGGTATCGCCGGTTCGTCGTCGACTGGTGGGACCGCAGCCACATTTTCCTTGTCACGACAGTACCTGCTGAGGGTGGGCGCGGGGAGATCGTGACTGGGGTCGCACATTGGAGCCGGATAGCTCCAAGCTGGAAGGAGAATTATGAGGCTGGTTGGGGATACGCCTGGTGGGATCCAAGTAAGTGCTTCTTCAAGATGTCGTTCTCAGCTATCTGCTTCCACTTCTTGCACAGCTTCAGAGGGTACCCGTAATCCACATCTTCTCAGACCATGCAGCTATTGAGGCTGATGATATTGCCGCGGTGCAACTCATGCCCCTGGTCACCAATATGAAATACCACCCCCCTAATCACTCACTCCTTATACCAGAGCACGATGCTAATTAGGTGCATCCAAGGACGTTTGCTTCGACCCATAGCACAACTGGTTGTGCGGCTTGTTTCATGGCTTTCGCCGAATCGCGCGGCATCACCGAAGGACGAGAACATCATCGAACGCTCTTACAACTACCTTGACCACATCTGGACGGGCCCACGCTCCGAGTCTTGGTACCTCGAATGCTTAGCCGTCCACCCTGAATACCAGAACCAGGGCCATGGCCGTGCCCTTGTCGCGATGTGCGTGTGGCAAGCGCAAAAGGAAGGCATCGCATGCAGCGTGATCGCCGCAGATGGGAAGGAGAGGTTCTACCAGGCTTGTGGCTTTGATATTGGACCTGTCGGTAGGTCTGGCGAAGGGGAAGGTAATCCCCTGAGGGAAGTACCCGGTGGCTTGGTGTTCTTCAAGGACAAGGAAGGTGTGGTGGTCCCCGACAGGGAGGTCGGATCATGGACGTATGGGCACGGCGTGTTCGACTGGGATAAATGGAAGAAGGGCGTCGAAACCAAGAAGATGACTGATGCGTAGGACTGCAGGTGATTCCTTTGGTAACGTTGCCCATACTCGAGTTGCTACGGCGGACACTGTCTCAACGATGCTCATCATGAGCACGATCACATTACTATAGACAGATATCCTCCATCAGTCGTCCTTACTTGTCCATCGACGACGGAATGCTCCTGCCCCGGCCACCCTTTCCAACTCGCTCGGTTGCCAGGTTCCCCGACGAGCCCCTTCATGGCAGGGCCTGCAGAGATAGATTCTGGATGGCTCTCGCTCCCGCCTGGGTATGGTTTTTTGAACTAGTAAAACGTCTCGCAGCTCCCTTATTTCTGCTGCCTTTCTCTTCTCTCTCAAATCCAATTCTAATCTGATTTCGTCGAAATGTCTTCAGATAGAATTTCATTTAGCTTTAAAGCTTTTGACATCTCTTCAAATCTTGTGGACAAATGGCTTGCCCAGTTCAAAAGAGATAGGGATATGTCACCGACGAGGGTCAAGACAGCTCCATCGGCACCTACATCGAAAACGGACACAATGTAAGCCAGGAAAGCTCGCCGCATAATGACTAAATGACACCCTGTGATCACCAGGCTGAAACGACGGGCTCCAGCTCAACGAAAGGCCCGACTTCCAAAACCTCCGCAGGTCCTCAATGATGACAACGACGGCCACCGTGCCAAGGAGACAAGCCCCCTAAGAACCACAAAGCGGCTGGCATTTGACTCGACCTCACCTTTGGATCAAACCCTGTGTCATATCCACCACCCTCGGCGAGGTATCTAAGAGCATCTCATGGCCCTCAAGAGGTTGTCTTCGACAACAGAGTGATTTATGTCCATCGTCATACACACGATCAGGAAATAAAACCATTGGTTGTTTTGTGGACACCATCAATATTCTGAGATCCCAAGTCAATACCGGCTTTGTACCTTACGATAGCCTCGAAGGCTGCGATACCGTCAAGACAACCTCGTCTCGCAACATTCTCACCACCAGCACCAAAGTCTCCTGTCAGCGTGACTCAACCCTTCGAGCCAGCCATGCCTCTGATTCCAACCGAAGATCTTGCCATGATTGGCCTGGGATCGATGTGTTTCCTGGGCCTCGCGTGGATATACGTCGCCGATCGTTTAGCACTGCAGAGAGAGCAGCTACTGAAAGGCATCTCTGTCCCGGTGGAGAGTCTGGGAGACAGGGAGCTTTGGGCTTTGGGCAACAGGATCGATCAGGAGAACTGGTGGAGGATGAAATACGCGGCTACTCGTGTGGGTCAACAGCAACAGAAGAAAACATCTTCACCAACAAACCAAAAGGCGGTCCGAATATCCGAAAAAACTGATGACCCCTTCCGACAAGACGTGACTGAAAAAATAGGGCCTTTGCACGAAAATGGTGCCACATCACAGTTCCAGATCCTGGGATTCCAATGTCCTCGAGGAGGGCACGGTCACAGTCATCATGATCCTATGCCGCTAGATCAGATTATTGCTAACATCCACATCCGAGACAATAGTGCCATCAGACGACGATATCTCCTCTCCTCCCAAAACTGCATACTTCTAGGCGTCCTGGAGAGAGAGGGGTTGGGCTCCTGGTCCGTTGAAGAGGCGGATAATCGCAATATGATATGATGTTTGAAAAGGAGGAGTCGACATTCCAGCGCAGGGCCAACTCTCGCTCACCTCAACCCTCAACTCTCGTCCACCTCCACCCGTGTTTGTCTACATGGACCACGAGGTCTAGCCACGTCTAGAAGCTGAATTTCGTGTGCAACTGCGCCGCTGCGGTCGTGGGGGCTGTTGTGGGAATGCGCCACCCCCACGATGGGCGAAAGGGCAGGTGTGCTGTCAGCCTCGCCCACGATTGCTATTGAGACAACAATACGCCTCCCACGGGAGCTTCAGCCGGTCATGCCCGTCCCCCGCCAACTTCCCCGTTGCCGATGGGCTTCCTTCGACCATTCCTTGTCTGCGATCTTCAGCATCTGTCCAATTCCCTGCTTTGTTCAATTGCCGATCACTGTTGCGGGGTCGCTCATCACATGTCATCCAAACCTGCGGTGGCTTCAATTGCTCCAATGGTTGTCCGCCCTAAAGCCTCAACCCCAGACAGCACGGTGGGCTACTGCACTCCGCGCATTTCTCGGCCTTTGCCAGACGTACAATGAAGGGTCAATGATGCGCGCCCAGACCCCACACTTGGTGATATCTTCTTCCAGAATCGACCTCCAACCTTCTCGACCTCATTTTGTGCTCCCCATCTATGCAAGGGGGACATTTTGGATGCATAAATATCATCATCTTGTCGCTCCCCTCGAGTCTCCTTTCCCCAAGCCACTCCAAGGTCTTCCTGGGATACACCAACGACATTCAGGAACGTCCTACTCAGTATCGGCTTCACGATGGCCACCTTTGACGACAAAACGGTCCGCGAGGCTCACGCCGAAGATGTCGAGTCAGGTCGTCCATCCAAAGACATCACTGCGCGGGGAACTTCTCTGAAGCACGCCGACCGAGCTCTTGCTATTGTGGGAGACCAGCGAGTGGAGCTGACTGAAGAAGACGTAAGTCCTCGAAACTGTCTTGCAGGAATGTTGATTCTAATAAGGCTTGCCAGAACAAACGCATCCGACGCAAGACCGACAGAGTCATCCTCGTGATTCTTGTCTGGGTGTACTTCCTCCAGATTCTCGACAAGTCTGTCCTTGGCTACGGCGCTCTCTTCGGCCTCACGCAAGACACCAACCTCACCGGTGACCAATATTCCTTCCTGGGATCTATTGCCCCCATTGCACAACTTGCTTGGCAGCCATTCTCGTCCTTCCTGATTGTCCGAGTCCCTCATCGCATCCTCATGCCGGCCCTTTGCCTCGGATGGGGTATTGCCCAAGCTTCGATGGCCGCTTGCCACGATTACAGCTCGCTCTTGGCAGCCCGTTTCTTCCTCGGACTGTTTGAAGCCGGCTGTTTGCCACTTTTCAGCGTCATCACCAGCCAGTGGTATCGTCGAGCCGAGCAGCCACTCCGTGTTGCGGCTTGGTACGGTACTAATGGAATCGCCACAATTGCTGCTTCAGCACTATCTTACGGATTGGGCCATATCCCATCGCATGTTCTGGCAGAGTGGCAGATCATTTTCCTCTTCGTTGGCCTGGTCACCATTGTCTCCGCCCCGGTCATTTGGTATTTCCTCGACAACGACATTCCGTCGGCGAGATTTTTGACGGAACATGAAAAGGCACAAGCCATTGAACGCCTTCGTGCCAATCAAACCGGCACAGGCAATCGTGAATATAAATGGGACCACATTCTCGAGCTGGCGTTAGAACCCAAGACATATCTCTGGATTGGTCTTTCTCTCCTGCTGAATGTGGGCGCCTCGGTCACCAACACTTTCGGCCCACTCATTCTGCAAGGTGTTGGCTTCGACAAATACAAAACGTCATTGCTCAATATGCCTTTTGGCGCTATGCAGTTCATCGTCATCCTGCTCGCTTCGTACGCTGCTCAAAAGGCCAAGCTCAAGTCTTTTGTCCTTGCAGGCCTTATGCTGCCCGTCATTGCCGGGCTGGCCGTTCTCTACGTTCTGCCGCGCACCTCTGGTTCCACCGCCGGGCTCTTGGTGGCCTATTACCTCTTGGCGTTCCTTTTTGGCGGCAACCCGCTCATTGTTTCATGGATTGTCGGGAACACCGCTGGAAGCACCAAAAAATCCGTCATCATGTCCCTCTACAACGCTGGCTCGAGCTCCGGCAACATTATTGGCCCGCTGCTTTTCAACAAGAAAGATGCGCCCGCCTATCATCCCGGTCTACGCAAGGTGCTAGCAATCTTTGTCACAATGGTTGCCGTGATTTTCATCCAGTTGGCGGACCTGATCTTCCTGAACAAACTGCAATCGAGAAAACGTGTCAAGAACGGCAAGGCGGCCAAGATCAAGGATCACTCGATGGAAGACAGGTACGTCGCTATGGACGAGACTGAAATTGGGCAAAGATTGGGTGAGAATGCCTTTTTGGATCTCACTGACCGCAAGAACGATGAATTTACGTACATTTATTGAGTGATTTCGGAAGGATCTGAGAGGAATCCGTTACCAGTATAGCGAAGGTGAAACTACTGTATATGTAGTACTATGTATTTCCATATACAACTTGAAGTTACGTCTCGATTCTGTCTCGATTCTGTCTCGATTCTGTCTCGATTCTGTCTCGATTCT